ATGCCGCCGTGTCGCCCGGTGCCCGCCCGCAGACGCCTTGCGGGCGCTACGCGTGTGTGGGGGGGGGGGGGCATACCGAGGTTTCGCCTGGTGCCCGCCCGCGTGCGCCTCCTCAGCGCCCCGACAGCTTGCACCACGTAGATTGCAGATTGCACCACGCAGCTTGCACCACACAGCTTGCACCACATGGGTTGTGTTTCACGTTTTGGGGTCCGTGCGTTTGCTTTCACATCGCCGGCGAGGACGGCAGGAATACGAGTTTGTTGCGTTAAGGCGTGGTAGTTCCCTTGAGGGGCGGCGGATGTTCCTCCTCTGTTGTTGCTTTCTTTGCTTTCTTCTTCCTCCTCCTCATCCTCCTCTTCCTGTCGTTTCGTTTAGTCTCTCGTGTCGCTTTGGTTCAAGGCCCATGTGAATATTCTGCACGCAGGCGCGTGCGAGTTGACGGCCGGCATTCCCTGCTCCGTCACACGCTGTGGCGTAGCCTTTTTTGTGTTAGTCGGGATCACTCACTCATCATTGCCGCGCATGAGGAAATCAAAGCTCACATCGCAGTGTTTGAACCACGCAGACTGCGCCACGTAGATTGCACAACCTAGCGTGCACCACATAACTTGCACCACATAACTTGCACCAACAGCTTACATCGCATAGCTGGCACCACGCAGGTTGCACCACATAGCTTGCGCCACGTAGACTGCACCCCATACTCTACACCATATAACTTGCACCCAATAGCTTGCACCAACTTGCTTTCACCACGCAGCTCAGACCGCGTAGATTGCACCACATAGCCTGCACCACATGGTTGCACCACACAGACTGCCCCACGCAGCTTGCATCACTTAGCTCGCAACACATAGCCTACACATCCACAATGCCCAATACACTACCTTTCAGTTCGGGGCCCACGCTGGCAACCGTTGTACGATATGGCTTTGAGAATACGGGAGTGTTCATATACCTTTCGATGGAGGCTGCATCTGGGACTGGGAAAATCGTAAGAAGACGCGGAGGGTTTGATGAGCTAGCCTTAATGGAGGAGGAGGTGGAAAAGTACGAACAAAAAGCATCTGCACGATTCACCCGCCACTCTGTAGAAGGAGGATGATGAAATGGGATGAGAGGAGGAGACCGATGACCAATGAGGAAGAAGAGGCATTCGGCAAAGCCGGGGAGGACGGGATGAGAAGGTGAGATAGACGAGGAGAATGGATGAGGTGGGCGAGTAGGCATTAGGCATCAAGCGAATTGTAGGACGACGGGGGACATGTGGTGGAGTAGAGTGGGTGAGTGATGAGTGATCGAGGAGGAGGCCTTGGCATTCATATTCAGGCAGACTCTAGGAGAGCGAGGAGGAGTAGGAGGTGGAGTAGTGGAGGAGAGTAGTGATGGAGGACGCGGAAGAAGCATGGGTCATCAGGGTATCCCGCTAGAGCGGTGAAGATTGAGAAAAACAATGCGCAGGGCTCAAGCGAACTCCAGAGGTAGGCGGGAAGGAAGGGAAAGAAGATAAGGAAGAGGACGAGCAGTTGACAGTCCCCCCCGACTCCTGCGATCGCCTTCTCCGAGGCGCTCATGCGCCGTCGCGCGCAGGGCGGGATTGCCAGGAGGGAGGAGGACACGACGCCCTAAGCCTGCGTGCGCCTGCTGGAGCGTCAGCCTCACCTTCCTCCATGAGCGTCTGTGGGGCCCCCTCTGTTGCCTCGCGTACTCGATGTTACGAAAGCGGTCCCACCGTTGGCTTCGAAGGTGTAGCTGCGCGGGTCGAGATGCGGGGAGGACCCGGCTCCTCCTCCCCCCTCTAATATACCACGCGACGCCCCACACGCGCCACTCACACACACACACCTAATACTCGACAGCACCCACTGCTCCACCTCCCCCAGAGGTGAGCTTGGCCTGCTGGGGTGGGAGAGGAGTTCTGCGGTGCCAAGCCAACACGCCATGAGCCAAGCACAGAAAGGTTATGGAGATAGGAATGCAGGTGCTGCTAGCACGACTTGGGACGCTCTCGAAGCGCCTCGAGCCTGCCTCGCAGACCCTGGAATTTGTTTTCCCACCTCCCGAACTCCAAATTACCAGCCCAACGCCACCTTAAGACGCCACTGCGCAGCTGTTAAACGGAAGTGAAAGGAATGCGTGCCATGTGGCAGCGGGAGAGAGAGATCCAGCACGGCACAACATGGATACAGAGTTCAGACACGCCAAGCAGGAAATTGTTCGGTGGCCTGCTGTTTAGAGGTGGAGGGGGAGCCGCACACAGAAGCGTGCCAGCTATCCATGGCGAAACCATGCATTTCTGTCATCATACTTACTCTCTTCAGGAGCTGTTCTTTTTCCCGCCATACCCTTCTGGCCCGTTGAGCAAGTTCTGCTCTTCATTGGCAGACTGTCTAACCTGCTCTATGTAGTCGCCGCCAATTGCTGCAGGTCTCCCTTCTCATCGTCATCACCTTTCAGCGTACCCGTGGGCACAGACAACGTGTCGTTGTCCAGAAAACAATGCTTACCGCGAATACTCTGGCATCTCTCGTGAAGCTGAGCGTAGGCGTAGCGATCTATCTACCCCCCTGTCATGGTCCCAGAGCACGTCCCTAAGGTCTCAGAGCACGTCCCTAAGGTCAGTGAGCTTGTCCTACGCTCCTTGGAGCTGGTCCACCAATGCCTCCTAATCCTTGAGGGCGCAGCTGGGCTGGTCCTCCGGCCTATCATGTGAGCGTGAATCGGTGTGCTGCTCACTGCTGCTATCTCCTATGACATGTTGGTCGACGGGCGAGGTCGGCGGGTCGAATGCACATACTTCGCCGCCATTCGAAGGCGATTTTGAACACTGCAGACAATGTCCCACGCCCCTGGCATTTGGTGCCGCATAGACGTTCACCTTTTCCGGCCAGCGTTCGTCGACCGACTCCTACGGTTTTTGACCATCAATGAGAAATGCATGGCATGGCCAACATTGACTAGCCGCCTCGCAGTCCTGACAGAGACGATTCCGTTCTGACGATGTTTGCGCCTTCTCTGCCCAAGTCCTTCGAGTTTCTTCCCTGTAAGCTGCCCACGAGAACACAAGATTGCATTGAAGCTCGCTGTGAGCCAGCGTGGACCCCACACCGTGAGCCACTGCACGATGGAGGTGAACGCTATCTGGTGGTAGCTACGCGGTGTGAGCAATGCTGTGCAAGCGATGTTGTGTAACTTCTGTGTTCTAAGTTTAAGTGTGTGGGCTATGCGGTGTAGTGTATGTACTGGTAGCTGTTCGATGAGAACTCTGAGGTGGGAGTTATGCGGTGTAAGCTATGTTGTCTGGACCATGTGGTGCAGGCTAGGTTGTTTAAGTTAGGTAGTGTCAGCTATGTTGCGAGTGTGTGTGTGTGTGTGTTTGGCATGTCGGGTTTCCCTGGCATAACGCTTGGCTTGCAGTGTGGTCATGCCCAAGGCGTCGAGACCCGCTGGTCGCGCTCCATCTTCCCTTTTACAACAGTGCACGCTATGCCGTGTAAAGTGTGTGGCGTGGGCTGTGCGGTGCGAGCGGTGCGGTGCAAATGATGTGGGACGAGCTGTGCCGTGCACGCTGTGCGGCGCCCACGAGGCGCCCACGCTGTGCCCACGAGGCGCCCACGGGCGGGCACGGGCGCGAAGGTGGCGAGCCTCGGAGAGCCCACGCGGCGCAAGGAGCGCCCACGAGGCGCCCACGGGCAGGCGCGGGCGCGAGCGTGGCGGAGCCTCGGGAGGCCCACGCAGCGCGGAGCGCCCACGCGGCGCTCCCGAGCGGGCACTGGCGCGAACATGGCGAACCCCCAGGACATTTGTTCTTCAAGTACTGAAGGGGGACGAGGAGGAACCCCTGAGTACGAGCAACACTGGGGGAGCCCATGTGCTGTGGCGCTATGCCTGTCAGGGAAGAATGCAGACATATGCAACACGGCTGTGCCGTTCCTGGCGCAAGTTTGCACCTTGGTTCTTGAGCCACAATGGCTTACGAGTCTTCTCTACAGCACCTCCTCCTCCTCCTCCTCCTCCTCCTCCTCCTCCTCCTCCTCCTCCCCCTCCGCGTCTTTCTAGTCGTTGCCAGATGCCTGCTGCTTCCTCCTCCTCCTCCTTTAAAATTATCGTTCTCTTCCCCTGCTCCAGATCCTCCTCGTCCTCCTAAAGTTTGCATGAACCATTCCAGATGCTTCCTCCTCGCCCAGCACCCCTAGAGCTTGCCATACGCCGAATGATTCCTCCCCAATGACTATCCTCCGCTAAATGTGATCTTCGTCATCCCAGATTTTGCCTCATGCCTACTGCCTCCTCCTCCTCCTCCTCCTCCTCCTCCTCCTCCTCCTCCTCCTCCTCCTCCTCCTCCCCCTCCACCTCTTCACCCTCCTCTTTCATTCATCATGCAACAGCGCTGCTCCACCACCTCCTCGTCCTAGAAGTGGCCTCACGCTCACTTCATGTTTCGCCTCCTCTACTCCGCCTCTTCCTGAGCCTCCTGGCGTCTGCATGATCCCTTTACAACTGTACTACGGTGCACATTGCCGTGCTCTCACCCTTGCCGTGCCAAGGAACCCGTTGGAAGATTCAAACATTCACGCATTCCCTAGCCGACATCCTACTTCTCAGCCCGTTCCTCCACCTTTGCTGCCCTTAGGGTGTTTCGCTGGAGTAATACTATATTCCCGGTTCGGCCGTGCATCTCCAGGTAGCGTGCGTGGCACCAGTGTGTCTTGTTGCGTCCCATATCGTTGGATATTTTTCCCCGCGCGCACGTCTGTCGGCTCTGCGTTCGGACAGCAGACCAGCCTTCGGAGTGGGTCCATCGCGGGCATACGCACCGCCTGCTTGGCCGCAGGAAATCAAAGCTCGACCCCTGGACCTGTCCCGGGGTGCGTTTTGCCCAGGATCTCGAGGGGAACGCAGCCGTATCAACAACGAGGGGGCCCACAGCATCAGAAAAGATACGCCAGGGGGACCTCGACGCACTCGGACGTCGAACGCCCTGGCCCGGGCCGCAGGACTTTTTCCTCGACCTCGTCTTCGAGCCAGCGGACGAGGAGCCCGCGGCGCCGCTGCCGGTGTTCGCCAAGGCGCGGGAGGCGTCCGCGAAGCTGCGGGAGGAGGCGCGCGCGTCGCGCGCGCGGGCTCGCACGCCCAGGGTCAGGGGATGGGCGCCGCGAGAGCAGGCATGTCCAGGCGGCTTCGAGGGTCGACACCCCCGGCGTTCGGTTCGGGGAGAGAGGGGGGGGCCAATGCCGTACTTGTTCTTGCAGCAGTCGTCTCTTTACCATGCTTTTCTTTCCAGGGGATGTTGCTCATTCCCTCGAAGCTTTTTGCTAGAGGGTGCTTCTGGCAGTGTTCGAAGATTCCTCTCGCCAGAATCTCCCCAGGGGGGGCCAGGGGGGAGACCTCTCACCAGTCCGGCGGCGGCCCGGAAACTGCTGACTGTGGTGTTCTGGCTTGATTTCAGCCCTCGCAGATCGAGAAAGGAGACTCACTCTGGTGTTCCGGTTCGATTAAGTCCAGACATGAGGCTCATTAGTGCGTGCTGGTTCGATTTCAGCCCTCCTAGATCCAGAAATGAGGCTCACTAGGGTGGTCTGGTTCGATCTGCCTCAGGAGTGATAATTTCTATACTGTGGTAGGTATCGGTTTCAGTTCAAATATTCTTTTCACCCGAATCTCCACAGGGGACACCGGAGAGAAGGCGATTGTTTTGGCACGACCTCAGCATTTGCCGAACCAGATGCGAGACTCACTATTGCGTCCTGGCTCGACTTCAGCCGTCGCAGGTGTAGAACTTGTGGCAGGGGCATCGGGTCCTCACTATTTTGGATGTCCTGTTCTGGCTCCATGCCAGTCCTCGCAGATCCAGAGATGAAACTCCATATTTTGTTCTGGCTCGATTTCAGCTGTCACGGGTTTAGATAGTGTGGCAGAGGCATAGGATTCGCATGGCTCCAGTTGTCCTAGCTGCCATAGGTCCAGACAGTCTGGCAGGGACGTCGGCTTCTCATCGCTCCAGCTGTCCAAGGCCCAGACACCGCGGCAGGGGCATCAGGTTCTCACCATTCCAGGTGTCCTAGTTCCAGAAAGCTTGGCCGGGGCATGGATTCTCACCACTCTTGTTGGAAAGGGCAACAGTTGCATGGGATTCTTCTTGTGTCAGCTGCCCTCGTTCAAAGCACGTGTGGCGGGGTCATTGGATGCTCACCATTGCAGCTTTCCTCCGTCCAGAAAGTGTGGCGAGGGCATCGGATTCTCACTATCTCCGTTCTTCATGGCAGGACGGCGCCAGGGAGGGGGAGGGGGATGCGAAGAGGAGGAAGAAGGGGCGGAGGAGGAGGAGGCGGAAGAGGAGGAGAACATGGAGGATGAGGAGGAGAAGAAAACGATGAGGAGGAGGACGAGTATGATGATGATGATGATGATGATGATGATGATGATGATGATGATGATGATGATGATGATGATGATGATGATGATGATGATGATGATGATTGGTGATTGGTGATTGGTGATTGGTGATTGGTGATTGGTGATGATGATTATTATGACGACGCCGACGATGGTGCTGATGATGCTGCTGATGATGATGATGGTGATGATGATGATGAGGAGGAGGAGGAGGATGGTGATGATGCTGGTGATGATGATGATGCTGATGAGGAGGAGGATGAGGAGGAGGAGCAGCAGGATGAGCAGGAGAAGCAGGAGGAGCGGGAAGAGCAGGAACAGCAGGAAGCAGCGGGAGCAGGAACAGGATGAGGAGCCGGTCCGCAGGACACTTGCCTCTGGGAGGAGGCGGAAGATGAAGAGGAGGAGGAGGAGTGGAGGATGAGGAGGAGGAGGAGGAGACGAAGGAGGAGCAGGATAATCCAGAGACGACGAAAGAGGAAACATACGAGAGGGGGGGCCTGCTGGACATCATCGAATTCATTTCATGTTCCAGCGTGCTCTTCCTTGTCCTGCTCCTCCTCCTCCTCCTCCTCCTCCCCTTCCTCGTCCTCCCCGTCCTGAGCTGCTGCGCAAGTCACTGCTGCTGCTCCAGCTGCTGCTGCTGCTCGCTGTGCTGCCGTATCAGTTCGAGGCGTTGGTGAGAAGGCGAGGATCGTTTCTGCGCTTGCGCAGGCTGTGGATATTGCGCCTTCGCTTGACGCAATGTTTTCTGCCACTGACGTGGACCTGGCAGGCTGCCGACAGGCTGGGGTTCCACCGTATCCGCCCCCACCTGCAGGTCCACGTTTTTGTGACCCCATTGGCGAAGGCAAACCGCGGGGATGCTTATGAGCTTGCTGCAAGGGCCACGCCGCCGCTTCCCGAGAGTCGCGGACGAGGGCGGTCAGGCTCGGGCAGGGGAAGCAGAAGCCGAGCTGGCGAGGGTCGACGGCGGAGGCGTTCGGCTTTCCGCAGTGATCGAGTGAGGGCGCATGCCGGTCAAGCTTCTCTCGGGAGAGTTCTACCAGCTCCCGCTCGTGCCCAGCGCGGCGTCCTTGTTGGCCCCTGCGGACAAACAGTCCTATGAGCACGTGCAAGCCCAGAAGATCCTGCCCGACGCCCCCATGCGTGCTCGGGCTTGTGAGCGTGAAGCGGCTCGACGACCCGGACTCGTCGCGCATCCTCGAGTCCACGCGGACGAAGGGCGACAAAAAATCAGGGAGGACGTCTGGGCGAAGTTCGAATCCGCAGCAGTCTGCCACAAAGACGTCCACCGACTCCGCAACGCGCGGGACTGGCGCAAGCGCGCTTACGAGTGGCGCAGGGCGTCCTTCGCCACGCGCGTGCACGCGCGTCTGTGCGCCAAGCGCGCGCGTGAACCCTTTTTATACTGCAGCGTTCGACGGGCCTTCCGCTAGGCTCACCCATAAGGGCTTCGACGACATTTCGCCGCGGCTGCGCCAACGTCGGTGCGACCGCCGAGCTTGCCGGCGTCCTCCGTGTGCACGTGGGCATGGACTTGGTATGCACGCGGCCCTACTTGCCGCCTTGTGGAGGTCGTGGATATTGAGCTCCACCCGCAGGAAAACTTTTTGGCCAACAGGCAATCCATTCGCCAACACTCTTGCGTCGTCTTGAAATCCATGCCTGTTGCCATCCACGTCCGGGTATCCACTCGGAACACGAATTTCTTCGAGGGCGACGCAGCTTGTAGGGCTGGACTTGACAGGCGCGCTGGCCGCGACGCCCGTCGCGTGATCTTGGTCGCACAAGCCGGCGCGCGCGCAAAACGACACGTCTGCGACCAGGGCGCAGATCTCCATCGCTGCCTGAAGAGCAGCGCAGACTATATTTCATCCATGGCGAAACAGCAGGTCTTGTCCCCGCCGCCGCCCACTGGCAGCTCCCTGCCGGACAGAAGGGGCATTTCTTTCAGCTCGCGCGCCGCGCGTTTCTGTCCCACCCGCGCAAATTTCGCAGTTTCTTGCGTCGCGGCGAGCCAGAGAGAAACATCGTGGACGGCGGGCCACCGGAGGCTACGCTGCCGCGTTCGACCGACGAAGCGGACCCGCGCATAAGCGTGCGCTGCTATGAATTGGCCATTCGGCCCCGCTGAACATGTGGCGCTGCAGCCTGCGATCCAAGCCTTCGCGATCGCGGTGCTGCTTAGCCTGTTGCGCCCGTGCTCGCACGACCACGGCGTTGATCGGCCTGTCGCGTCCATGCTCCCGCGACCGTGGCGCTAGTAAGCCTGCGCCGCGGCGGACGGCTCTTGCGCGAATCCGTTCGGCCGGCATACGCATTCACAAGGGTGGTTGAGACATTCCTTCCGCTCGTCGCGCCCACCGCCCCCATCGCGGCCCGCGCCCAACAGCAGCAACGACGACAGTAAAAGCAGGAGCAGCAACGAGGCCAGTCAGCGCCAAGAGCTCTATCACCATCATCCGCATCATCGAGAATATCGTCCCCATCGTTCGCGTGTGCGGGGCATATGGAATGTTTCCGGGTAACGTCGTCGGTCCATCATCATCTTCGACCATCCTTTCGTCCATCATATCCGCCCCGTGTCGCCGAGGGAATGAACTGTTTTAGCGTGCCTCGGCATGTTCTGCGGGGACCAAACGAATCGACGGCGGGCGTTTCCGATGCGTCTTAGGAGGAGGCGGAGGAGGAGGAGGAGGAGGAGGAGGAGGAGGAAGAGGAGGAGGATGAGAAGGAGGGGGAGGAAGAGGAGGAGGATGAGAAGGCGGGGGAGGTGGAGAAAGGGTTTTTGCGTGTGTGTGTGTGTGTAAGTGTGTGTGTGTTGTGTGTTGTGTGTTGTGTGTTGTGTGTTGTGTGTTGTGTGTTGTGTGTTGTGTGTTGTGTGTTGTGTGTTGTGTGTTGTGTGTTGTGTGTTGTGTGTGTGTGTGTTGTGTGTTGTGTGTTGTGTGTTGTTGTGTGTGTGTGTTGTGTGTGTGTGTGTGTGTGTGTGTGTTGTGTGTGTGTGTGTGTTGCGTGTGTGTGTGGTGTGTGTGTGTGTGGTGTGGTGTGTGTCGTGTGTGTTGTGTGTGTGTGTTGTGTGTTGTGTGTTGTGTGTTTGTGTGTTGTGTGTGTTGTGTTGGTGTGTTGGTGTGTGGTGGTGGTGTGTGTTGTGTGTTGTGTGTTGTGTGTGTTGTGTGTTGTGTGTTGTGTGTTGTGTGTTTGTTGTGTTGTTGTTGTGTGTTGTGTGTTGGTGTTGTGTGTTGTGTGTGTGTTTTGGTGTGTTGTGTGTTGTGTGTTGTGTGTTGTGTGTTGTTTGTGGTGTGTGTGTGGTGTGTGGTGTGTGGTGTGTGTGTGTGGTTGTGTGTGGTGTGTGGTGTGTGGTGTGTGGTCTGTGGTGTGTGTGTGTGGTGTGTGGTGTGTCTTGTGTGTTGTGTGTTATGTTTTATATAGTGTGTGTTGTGTGTTGTGTATTGTGTAGTATGTGTTGTGTGGTGTGTGATGTGTGGTGTGTGGTGTGTGGTGTGTGGTGTGTGGTGTGTGGTGTGTGGTGTGTGGTGTGTGTTGTGTGTTGTGTGTTGTGTGTTGTGTGTTGTGTGTTGTGTGTTGTGTTTGTGTGTGTGTTGTGTGTTTGTGTGTTGTGTGTTGTGTGTTGTGTGTGGTGTGTGTGTGTTGTGTGTGTGTGGTGTGTGTGTGTGTGGTGTGTGGTGTGTGGTGTGTGGTGTGTGGTGTGTGTGTGTGTGTGGTGGTGTGTGGTGTGTGTGTGTTGTGTGTTGTGTGTGGTGTGGTGTGTGTGTGTGTGTGTGGTGTGTGGTGTGTGTGTGTGGTGTGTGGTGTGTGTGTGTGGTGTGTGGTGTGTGGTGTGTGTGTGTGTGTGTGTGTGTTGTGTGTTGTGTGGTGTGTGGTGTGGTGTGTGGTGTGTGGTGTGTGGTGTGTGGTGTGTGGTGTGTGGTGTGTGGTGTGTGGTGTGTGGTGTGTGGTGTGTGGTGTGTGGTGTGTGGTGTGTGGTGTGGGGTGTGGGTGTGTGGGGTGTGGGGTGTGTGGGTGTGGGGTGTGGGGTGTGGGGTGTGGGGTGTGGGGTGTGGGGTGTGGGGTGTGGGGTGTGGGGTGTGGGGTGTGGGGTGTGGGGTGTGGAGTGGTGGTGGTGGTGGTGGTGGTGGTGGTGGTGGTGGTGGTGGTGGTGGGTGGGGGGGGTCGCCCGTCATTTCAGGCGACGGCAGACGCACCACAACGATGGGGGGAAAACCCGTTCTCATTCGAATCCGCATCACGAGGAGGGGGGGAGGAGCAGGATGAGGAGGGGGTGCGGAGAAGGAACCCTTTTGCATGTCCGTAGCCATTGCTCGAGCTCGGCCAGGTCGTACTCCTGCCCCCAGTTGTCCTCCAAGCATGAATGCGGCCGCTCGGTCCTTACTGCTGTTCCACGCGTGTTCATGTCACCTTGTCGACATCACGAACGCCACCCTCATCAGCAAACTTAAGTCCGTTATCGTGCCGGCAATATGATGGGATGGTTTCGCAAGCCAGCGCTTCAGGCGCCCATCCGCATCTTCACCTCGGCTGGTGTTCGGAAGTTTTGCCGGCGGAGTTCGTATTCGGATGCCGTTGTACCGGCGCGCCGTATGTTTTTGTTCCGGTGTTCCATATACAGATGTCCATGTATGTATGCGTGTACATATGTATGTGTATGTATGTAAACATACACGTAGCCATTACATCGGTATGCATGCAGTTATATATCACAGTTGCATGTATACATACATATGTGTGTATACATGGATGTATGCATGCATTATTGTTTATACACATATTTTTGTGTACATGAATAGGTGTCTGGTCGTATCATTTTACACACAAGCATTCACAGACAATGTTACGCAAACACATACACATTTTTTTGGTTTGTATGTGTACATACGAGTATGTTTATAGAACTGCACATGGACATGCATATTTGCATGTATAGTATGGAACTACGCGTTTGTATATATGATTATTTATACATGCGTGTGTAGATGTATTGAAAACGCGTGTATGCATGCATCAGTATCAATGTCTTTATTTGTTCGCTCTCCATCTCTCTCTCTCTCTTTGTCTGACTCTCTTCTTCTCTTTCTCTCTCTCTCTCTATGTCTCTCTCTCTCACTCTCTCTTTTGGTTTCCTTCTCTCTTCCTTTCTCTCTCTCTCTCTCTCTCTCTCTTTTCTTGCGATGTATATATATATATATATGTATACACATTTGTGTAGTATGTATATATATACACAATACCCCCCTGGCCCATCCCGCTTCCGTGCTTGGGATGTGGGCCGCAGCCCTTTCGGATGTTCGCTGGGATGTGGCGGCCATTCTGGGGCCTTTCGGGTGGTTCCTAGGGGCCGTTTTGGGGCCTCTTGCGGTGTCCGGGGGCCTTTTCCGGGAGCCTCTTGCGGGGGGGCTTTTGGGGGCCTCGTGGGGACCCCTCTGGGCCTCCTTGGGGCCTTTGGGAGCGGAAGGGTCGGACGTTCGGTTAGTTTTTCTTCTCGTGGACCTTTCCTGGGACTGTCTTTGGGATGTCTTTACCCGTTTTGGGCGCCCCTGGGGCCGTCTCGGAGCCCTCTTAGGCTGTCTTGGAGCCTTTTGGACGGCCTGTTGGGCCGATTGGTTGCGGTTTTCTGGTGTTTGTAGGCCGTCTTTGAAATCCGGAAGCTCGAAGCGTCGAGGACCTTGAACAAATGAACAACCTTCGGGAATCATGATTTTGGCCTCTCGGGCCTCGGGGTCCTCTTGGGAAGGCTCCTGGGGCTCCTTCGGGGCGCCTCGAAAACTTTCTGGGCTGCGCGATCGTGCGGCGATTCGGTGCCCTCTTGGACCGTCTTGGGACGGTCTTGGCCCGTTCTGGGGCCTTCCTGGGCCCGAAGAAATCCTGCGACAAGACGCCACGCGCCAAGCCCAGTAATATCTGAGAATTACAGATGCTGCGCGTAAACCCACCAGCCCATCCAGTAACGATGCCCAGACGAGTTGCCCTGATCAGGGAAGTGGAGGAGCATGCCGTCGTACCCCAAGAAAGGGGAAATTTCATGATGAAGCGGAAGAGGTGCAGGAGGACGAGGAGGACCTCAGGAGGTGGAGGAGGAGGAAGGGTATGGAGAGGGTGATAGGGGAGGATGGAGGAGGAAGGGGGCGGAATAGGCGGATGAGGAAGGAGGGGAGGAGGAGGAGGAGAAGGAGGAGGAGGAGGAGGAGGAGGAGGACGAGGAGGACGAGGAGGACGAGGAGGACGAGGAGGGCGAGGAGGACGAGGAGGACGAGGAGGAGGAGGAGGAGGACGAGGAGGAGGAGGAGGACGAGGAGGGCGAACAGAAAGGCCAGAGACTTCTTGGATGCCTCTCAGAGTCTCTTCGGATGTCAATCGAGAGGTTCTTGTAGTTGTCTTGGGGCGTCTTTGGGGTCTTCGCAGTCCTGGGGACCTTTTTGGGCGTCTTGGGTGCTTCTGGGGGGCCTCTTGAGGGTCTCTTGGGAGCCTCTTGGGGACATCTTGGGGGCCTCTTGGGAGCCTCTTGGGAGCCTTTTTCGGCCTCTTGGGCACCTCTTGGGGCAATCTTGGGGCACCCTTGGGAGCCCCAAGGGCCATCATGGAGCCACCTAGGAGATCAATCAAAGTAGGAGCCCTAGTAAATGAGCCCCCCCCCGCCCCCAGGAGGCAAAAGTCTGGCCAAACTTATGGTACAATGAATGACTTGTGTCTTCTCGCCGAGGCCATCTTGGACGCTCGAAGTCCCCCCCGGTCCAGGTCCAGGGGGAGGGGGTAGGTGGAGGGGTAAACCCCTCCCCGAAGGGGAAGAGGGAAGATGGACGAGGAAACTCGCTAAACCACTCACGCCCAGAAGGCTGGTAGGATCTGGGGCCCGGGCCTCTTGAGTAATCCTCAGGATTGAGGACTGACGCTTAAGGAATTAGGCCATGGACTTGAGGACACTCCAACTCTCACGTTTGCGGAAACATGCCCATGCTTATACATCGATCGTTAGGTGTATATATATATATGTATGTAGAGGGACACGTCGAAATGTCTCTATCTATATATATATATATACACATCTAGATAGGCGGTTATGTATATATTGACTTACATGTGTATACATATACATCGATCGATCGATCGATGGATAGATCTATTGGAATATAGATGGATAGACAGATACATCGACAAATCGATATTTCCACTGGAGTGACGTTCGACGGGCAGATTGAACCTCAAATATCGAACCTCAAGCAGGTCCCCGCCTCTCTCGCGTGCGGGCCGGCCGCCCGCGCAGCCCCCTCGCAGAGCCCTCGGCCTCCACCCCAGGCCGCGGCGAGGCAGGCCGACGCTGCGGCCAGGCGCGACGTCGAGGCAGAGCTGGAGGATCCAGCTCGGGCCAACGACGGCCCCGCCGACGGCGACAACGACGCCGGCGGCGGCGACGAAGACGCCCGCGACGGCAACGAAGACGCCAGCGACGGCGACGAGGCCGGCGGCGACGGCGACGAGGACAGGGGCGACGACGGCGGCGATGACGACGACGACACAAGCGGCCGCGACGACGGCGGCGACGCCGACCATCAGAGAAGGAAACAGAGCGGTATTGGTAATTCATGATTCCCCCAGACGAGTGCGACGGCGGCGACGCGGATGGCTCTGGCGACGCGGACGTTGCCAGCGACGCCGACGGCGGCGATGCCGACGCAGGCGACGCCGACTGCGCCGACGGCGACGGACGGCCACCATGTTGAAGTGGAGCTGGAGGATCGTTTTTCTGTTGGGTTGGACTGGGCCCAAAGAGAGTATGTCACGCGTGGGGCGCTCTTACAGGACCTCGGCTTCCATGGACCGTTTTTCTTTTTCGGCGGAAGGCGGCGGGAGGCTAGCAGAAGCAATGCGGGGGCGGCTCCGCATGCGAAGGCCTTCGCAACGCCAGCTGAGGCCGACCGAAGTGAGAGTTCCTCAGGGGATGCGACTAAGTTTGGTTTCGCGGTTTTCGGAAAGGTCTATCTATACCCCCGTTCTTGTGCGCGATCGTGCGAACATGTGCGTGATTACAGATTGGCGTTGGCCGATGCATCGGTCGATCTCTACCACGCTTCGGTGGGGCAGGATTTGCGACCCTGGAGGGGCCCAAACCTTGTGCGTTCTTTGCTTTCGTCTCTGCGGACGCCGCCGACGTCGAGCAGCTTCCTTCAGCGCGCGTGAGCACGCATGTGCTTCATTGCGTGGTGCAGATGAGCGCGCACGTGCGACTGCCCATGACCTCCCGCTGGCGCGCACACCAGGGCGAGGGGCTGCGGCGGGTTCGGCAGCGGAGCGAAGGCAAAGGCTCGCTTCAGGTTCTGTTTTCTCAGACATGCAATTCTATATGTATATAACTACATATAATATATGTACACCTGCGAACCAGCTGACCATAACACACATATGTGAATCCATACGACGGGCTTGGAAGCATTTCTCCTAACGCCACATCAGGGCCCCCAAAGGAGCCGAACGACAAACGCAACCTTCCGCGCCCAACCCCGTCCGCCTCAGCGGACACGTGGCCCAAACGTCCCCACATATAATTGTTGACGCTTCGCGTAACCCCGCCAGCGGCAGGTCTACGCCGTCGTCACGGTTCTTGCTCAGCTTACCTGGCTGGTATACGCCGTCGGCACGGTCTTGGCCTTTGGCGCCCCGCTGGCGACTCGACCCTCGTTTACCTCGCCTTCCTGGCCACCCTGTGTGAAAGGGGTGCAAGTGCAGGACGTCACCTGCGTTCGCGCCTCCATCCGGGTGGTCTAACGCCGCAGGGCGTAACACCGAGTTCCCTGGCATTTTGCTCTGGGCTGCACGATGCTCGAGCTTCCCTGGGTGCCCATCAGCCAGCCAGCCCTCGCCCCGCTGTCCCAGCGGCCGCCTTGTGAGCTGGCCCGGCCGGTCTGAGTTGCGCCCTGCAGCTGATCAGGTTTGCCCGTAGGCCCGGACAACTTCTCTCGCCGCCTGCGCTCTTCGCTCGCGGCCGCGACCAAAAGTAACCCCACCAGCCCATCCAGAGTAGACGATGTCTAGAGGAGTTGCCTCGATCAGGGAAGTGGGCGGCACACAGAGGAAGGTTCCCTCTTGGAGTTCTCTTGGGGCACTTTGAGAGCCTCTTGGGGCCTCTTGGGGGTCTCTTGGGAGCCTCTTGGAGGCCTCTTGGGCGCCTTTGGGGCCTCTTGGGCGTCTCTTGGGGCCCTCTTGAGGCGCTCCTGGAGTCCCTCTTGGAGGAGATCGCTCAAAAAAGGGAGCTCGAATTACGCCCCCCCCTCTGGAGCCCAAACAATCGCCTCTTGGGCCCCCCTTGGGGCGCTCTTGGAGCGCTCTTGGGGCAGTCTTTGGGCTCTTTTGGGCCTCTCTTGGGGCCCTCATGGGCCCTCGTGGAGCTGTCTTGCCTTGGCAGGCTATCGGAAGCGAATCGGCGAGAAGGCTTCTTTTCCTTGGGTTCTTGAAGGATTTTGGCCTTTTGGCGGCCTCCTGGGAAGTCTCAGAGGTATCTTGAAGACGTCTTGGAGCGTTCTTGGGGCTTCTTGGAGCATATTGGGGGCCATCTTGAGGCATCTTAGGCTATCTTGGGCCACCTTGAAGGTCTTATGTTGCTCTCTAAGGCCCTCTTGGGCCATCTTGAACAATCTTGGACGCTCCAACACCTTGCGGAACCCCTCCTCCAGGTCCATGGGAGGGGGTAGGGGGAGGGGTCAAGACTAGATAGCAAGCCGTCTGGCTCACTCCCACTCGCCTCCCCAACACATAGGTAACACCGAACCTGAGCATGTCCAGCGGTCGTGTTTGGATGGGCAGCTACTGGCCGGGAACCAAATCCGACCCTATGTGCGTGACGCTGGGGCGAAGTGCGCCACGCGTGCCAGGCGCGACACGCGCGCCAGGCACCCCTGGGGCCCGAGCGTACCGGGCACGCCTGGTGCGCCAGATGCGCCACGTGCTCTGCGTGCGCCAGGTGTGCCGCATACTCCAACCGCGCCAGGTGCGCCACTTTCGGGGCACGTACAGAATGTGTCAGGTGCGCCTGCGCACGTGACAGCACGCATCGGGAAACATGTCGGCGGCCCCCACCATCCTTGGCGAAATCCAGTGCCCATCGTTATGTCTTGTGGGCCTGCGCACAGCAGGTCATACGCCACCATCCCCGCCGTCCCTGCCAGAAACCATTTGGCGATGATCGCGGGGTGGCCGCGAATGATCCAGATTTAGCCGCGAGGTGAATTTTGTATTGCTTTTACGATAGGGATGGTAGCCCTGCGCACAGCAGGCAATATGCTGACACCCCTGCCGTCCCAGTCAACAAACTATACAAAGTGCTCGCGGGCCTCACGAACATGCTCCAGATTTTGCCCCACAGTGTACTTTGCATTGTTCCCAACCATCCTGTGGTGTTGGGCCCTCGTTTTGAAGAGACAGCGCCCCGCGTCACTCCTCCTTCCGCTGCCCCCTCCCCCCTCCTCCCCCTCCTTGCCTCTGCTCTCCGCATGTCCATCATTTCGGCGCACCCCTGGTATGTTTCGGTGGCCCCATACGGAGCTCCACCGAAGGCTCCAGTAGCAGGGCCCGCATGCGTCACCGCCACCCAGGACAGCGCTTCGTGGCCCCACAGGGTGCTCCACCGAAGGCTCCAGTGGCAGGGCCCGCATGCGTCACCGCCACCCAGGACAGCGCTTCGTGGCCCCATAGGGAGCTCCACCGAAGGCTCCAGTGGCACAGGTCCGCATGCGTCAACGCCACCCAGGACAGCGCTTCGTGGCCCCATGGGGTGTTCCACCGACGGCTCCGGTGGCACCGTTCGCATGCGTCTACGCCACCCAGGGCAGCGCTTCGTGGCCCCATAGGGAGCTCCACCGAAGGCTCCAGTGGCAGGGCCCGCATGCGTCACCGCCACCCAGGACAGCGCTTCGTGGCCCCACAGGGAGCTCCACCGAAGGCTCCAGTGGCAGGGTCCGCATGCGTCAACGCCTATGTGAAGCTCCACCGAAGAGCCCAGTGGCACCACTCGCATGCGTCAACGCAGCACGGGACAGCGCTTCTGCCCCAAAGGAGCTACACCGAAGGCTCCAGTTGCAGGATCCGCATGCGTCTACCCCACCCAGGACAGCGTTCCGTGGCCCCACAGGGAGTTCCACCGAAAGCCCCAGTGGCACCGTTTGCATGCGTCTTCCCCGCCCAGGATTGCGTTTCGTTGCCCCACAGGGAGCCCCACCGAAGGCTCCAGTGGCAGTGTCCGCATGCGTCACCGCCATCCAGGACAGCGCTTCGTGGCCCCATAGGGAGCTCCACCGAAGGCTCCAGTGGCACAGGTCGCATGCGTCAACGCCACCCAGGACAGCGCTTCGTGGCCCCAGAGGGAGCTCCACCGAAACCGGTATCCACAATGCGGTACTCGCAATTGTATATGGTTGGGTTCTTCGTCAGGCTCATTTTTTACAGTCAGGTTGGGATGGCCTTGATTGACGTCTCCGCGCGATGTGCGCCGCGCCCCATTCTTGCCATGCATTTCGCATCGTCGACGGCAAGACAGGCCATGTTGAGAGGAAGAACGAAAAGTTAACATTGAGTTTTACAGTCAGGATGGAACCACCATGATGGGGTTGCCATCGGCCGAACAGAGGGGGGAGTAAGAGTATATTATAATTAGGAATAAGGATAGGAGTAGTGGCAGTAGGAATCGAAGAAGGGATGCGTTTTCAGCAGGCGTAGTCGTGATCGAAGTCGTAACCGCAGTCGTAGCAGAAGTTGTGGTAGCAATGCGGTTCTTACCAAAGTGCTTGTTGAGGCGGAAGGTTCGGATGTTCGATTCTTGTTCCCCCTTTTCGGCACCTCTTGGGGCCGTCTTGGGGCCCTCTTGGGCACCTCTTGGGTCGTCTTGGGGCCCTCATAGGCTGTCAGGGGGCCTCTCGGTGGCCTTCTGAGCTATCTTGAAGCGGTCCTGGGGGCCGCTTGAGACGTCTTGCAGCGTCGGAAGCTCGAAAAGTGGAGAGCGCAAAAAGCATGAAACATTCTAAGGGAATCTTGATGTTGACCTCACGTGTCTCGTGGGAAAACATTTGGGGCTCCTTTGGGGCGTTTCGAATGCTTCTTGGACCGTCTTGGGGCCATCTTGGGCGCCTTGACCCGATCGTGCGGCGTTTCGGGGCACCCTTGGACCGTCGGGGCGGCCTCAAGGGGCCCTCTTGGCTCGTCTTGGGGCGCTTGCGGGCCCCACAAAGTCATGCGATAGGATTCGACGCGCCCCAGGAAGCATGCGCCAAGCCCCAAGAGATTTGGCAATGTGGAGTCCAGGCCCTTAAAGAATCCTTAGGATTGGGGACTGCGGCTTGAGGGGTTAGGCCAAGGACCTGAGGACACTCCAACTCGTGCCTCAAGGGGACGGTGGCGGATATGTCAGAGTGAGGGGCCCGAACTGTCCTTCACCATCCTTGGGTGCGCGCCTGAAGTGGGGTTCCGCGGTGCCGAGTGTTGTTGCTTTGCGTTGTTGCGTTTCGTCGTCGTTCTCGCTCGCGAGCCGCCCCCGCGACCCACCCGCGACCCACCACGCGATCACCCCGCGACCCACGCCGCGACCCACTCACTCTGCGACCCACCCGCGACCCATCCACGTTGCTTTAACGGAAAAATCGGCGCCTGCGGCGGGCCCGTTGTGCACAGTGCACAAGCACAATGATCTGCGCTTGCGGCGGGGCTCCTGCAAAGCTTCGCACACTGCCGACGACCCCGCCGCCCCCGCACTCTCATCCGTAGTTGCTGGGGGCTATGTATGTATGTATGTATGTATGCATGCATGTATGTATGTATGTATGTATGTATATATGTATGTATGTATGTATGTATGTATGCATGCATGTATGTATGTATGTATGTATGTATGTATGTATGTATGTATGTATGTATGTATGTGTGTATGTATGCATGCATGCATGCATGCATGCATGCATGCATGCATGCATGCATGCATGTATGTATGTATGTATGTATGTATGTATGTATGTATGTATGTATGTATGTATGTATGTATGTATGTATGTATGTATGTATGTATTATATGTATGTATATATATACGTAGCACCTCGCAGATGCGGATAAGAGTGATGGGACGGTGGGACGTCGGCAGTTTGCGAGACTCTGGAGAAGCCTGCCGCAGGCGCCAAAGTTTCACAAATCATCCAATGTGCCCGCCGCAGGCGCCGTTTTCTTCGGTAAACCAATGTGGGTAGGTCGCGGGTGGGTCGCAAATGGGTCGCGGGTGGGTCGCTGTTGGGTCGCGGGTGTGAAGGGCAGAAAATCCACCCCATAATAATCACCCCGGCAACGAAGCCGTTTAGTTAACGCACACAAGGAATGAATCGAACAGGGCAGGGCTGTTTAGTCAACGCCCAAGGCCATTTTAGTCAACGTCAATTGTCCGGTCTGGGAGGCGTTTCCTCCCTTGAGGGTGGGTCGCGGTGTGGGTCGCGGGTGGGTCGCGGGGTGGGTCGCGTGGTGGGTCGTGGGGTGGGTCGCGGGGTGGGTCGCGGGTGGGTCGCGGGTGGGTCGCGGGGTGGGTCGCGGGTGGGTCGCGGGTTGGGTCGTTGGTGGGTCGCGGGGTGGGTCGCGGGGTGGGTCGCGAGGTGGGTCGCGGAGTGGGTCGCGGGATGGGTCGCGGGTGGGTCGCGGGTGGGACGACGACAACAAACAACAGCAATTACAACAACTCAACAAGCAGAATTCCCACCACGAATTCATTATTGAATCGCTTCGCTCATTCCGCCGGCCCGTGATATGGCATCGCTGGTTTTTGTCTGTGTGTTCGTTGCCCATGTTGCGCTCTTGGGGGCGGGTGTCGTTCGGACGCGTTGCGTGGGGAGTTTTGATGGTGAAGCAGTTCCCTGGGGGTCGTCTCTCGATGGGGCGAAATAGAGTCGTCGTCAAGATGCTTCTTTGGGGGGCCTCTTGGGGTCTGTTGAGAGGCCGTTCGGGGGCGCCTGGGAGACATGTTTGAAGCCTTCTGGGGCTTCTTTTGGGCCTCCTGGGAGTCTCCTGGGGCCTCTTGGCGACATCTTGGGGCCTCTTGGAGGCCTCTTGGGGCCTCTTTGGGACCTCCTGGGCGCCTTCTGGGACGGAGGGCTCCATTTTTGAGTTCTCGGTATCCCTCCTGAGTCCCTCTTGGGCCCGTCTTGGGGCCTCTTGGTCCGTCTTGGGCGGCACTTGGGCCGTCTTGAGGGCTCTCTTGGGTCGTTTCGGCGCCGTCTTGGGAGCTTCGTGGGCCGTCTTGGAGCGGTCTTGGGGGCCTCTTGGGCCGTCTTGGAGCGTCCGGAAGCCGAAAAAGCCAGAACACAAAAAACATCGAAAAAACCAATGAAAATCAACGATTTTGGCCTCTTGGGGCTCTCTTCGGAGGCCTCTTGGAAGGCTCTTGGGGCGTCTTGGAGGCCTCTTGGGCTGTCTTGGGGGCCTTTTGGGCCGTCTTGGGGTCATCTTCGGCGTCTTCGAGCGCTCTTTGGGCGTCTCGGGGGCCTCTTGGGCAGTCTTGGGGGCCTCTTGGGGCACTCTGAGCGCGCTCTGGGGAGCCTGAGAGGCCGCACCCAGAAGGAAAACCATCTCTGAGTAGACTTGGTCGGGCGGCGGTCGGGCGGCGGTCGGGCGTTGGTCGGGGTACTTTTCGCCGGGGGACCCCCAGGGGCCGCCCCGCGCGCGCGAACTAGAAATACTGTTAATACTGTTACCCAGTTACCGGAGATCTTAGCACGCCCTGGCCCGTTGGGCCGGCGAATTCAGTCACTCACCCAGGTACAATTAATGACCGTTCGGCCCCCGCACTCTGATATATATATATATATATATATATATATATATATATATATATAAACTCATATTATATATACACGCCTGTGGAGAGTGTGTAAATGCATGTATGCAAGTCGTGTGTATATAGATGCGTATGAAGATCACATCTATTCATATGCGTGTGCGCAATTCTATCTATACAGGAAGCCCAGGTCCCGCCGCCCTTCCCCCTCCCTCCCAGCTGGACAGGTCAGTTTGGGAGTTTTCGAATCAATATGTGGCTCATCCTTCCCCGCGTCCTCTTGGTCCCAAGTCCTTTCAAAATTGGTCCCCGTACACTTCCTGGGATCTATCACGATTTGTCGTGGAGCCGCGCCAGCGCACTGTGACTTGTGAAACCTCCAGGCGCGCTCCGAAGCCTCCGAGTCGACGGTGGCGGCGGCGGTGGCGGCGGATGGCGACGGCGTCAGTGGCAGCGGCGACGCGGCAGCAGCGACGACGGCGAGGACGACGGACGACGATTGCCGACGGCGACGACAGTCGACGAACGACGACGAACGACGACGAACGACGACGACGACGACGACGACGACGACGACGACGACGACGACGACGACGACGACGACGACGACGGCAATCACGCGGGTGGCGGCGGCGGCGAGAGCGGGCGAGGCGGCAGCTGCGGCGGCGGCGACGGCGGTGGCCAGGGCGGTGGCGGCGAGGCCAACCCCCAGCCGCGAGGAGACCCTGCTGCGGGGGGGCGGCGGCGCGGCCTCCAAGGCTGCGCGCGCGCGGCCGCCCCGCCCTGCCTCTCGCCGCCAGCGCCGTGGTCGCCGTCGTCTTTGTTCGTCGATTGTTGTCGCCGCCGGCAGTAAGAATAATCATTGTTGATCTCCCCCCTCCGGCAACATGCGTTTTTCAGTTGGAGTGCCCTTCCCGGGGCTCGCACCCTGTTTTTCATCAGGGAAGTCACTAGGCTCAAACTGCGGCGTTGGCCCCCGGATTACAACAACAACCGCTCCCGCCTAAGACTTCTTCACAATTTAGCCAGGACCCCCGCTCCCGCCTGAGACTTCCTCGCATTTTACTCAGGAATCGCGTTCTCGCTTGGGATTTCCTCACAATGTATTTCAGAATCGCTGTCCCGGCGCTCTGGAGTCGCGCTCTCACTGGAGACTTGCTGGCTATTTACTTAAGAATCGCCCTCTTACGTTGGAATTTGCCGCAACTTACTCAAGCGCCGCGCTCCCGACACTCAGGCACCCAGGCGTTGCGCTGACGCTTAGGACTTCCTCACAGCTTACTTAGGAATGAGGATCTCGCTGCCCTTCGTAGCCCCGTTGCAGCCCTTCGTTGCCCCTTCGCTGCCCTTCGTGGGCACGTTGCAGCCCTTCGTGGCCCCCTCGCTGCCCTTCGTGGCCCTGTTGCAGCCCTTCGTGGCCCCGTTGCAGCCCTTCGTGGCCCCCTCGATGCCCTTCGCGGCCCCCTCGCTGCCCTTCGTGGCCCCATATATGTATGCCCTTCGTGGCCCTCGCGCGTTCGCGCCCGCTGTGGCCCCATATGCATGCCCTTCGTGGCCCCCTCGTTGCCCTTCGTGGCCCCGTTGCAGCCCTTCGTGGCCCCGCTGCTGCCCTCAGTGGCCCCGTCCTTGCCATTTGTGGCCCAATGTATGCATGCCCTTCGTGGCTCCCGCGCGTTCGCGCCCTTCGTGGCCCCATGTGCATGCCCTACGTGGCCCCACTGTCGCCCTTTGTGGCCCTCTCGCTGTCCTACGTTGCCCCGTTGCTACCCTCAGTGGCCCCGTCGTTGCCCTCTGTGACCGCATCATCTGCCCTTCGTGGCTCCCGCTCGTTCGCGCTTTTCGTGGCCTCATACGCATGCCCTTCGTGGCCCTGCTGTCGCCCTTCGTGGCCCCCTTCCTGCCCTTCGTGGCTCCGCTCTCGCTCTCGCATTCGCTCGTCGTCGTCGTCGTCGTCGCCGCCGCCGCCGTCGTCGTTGTCGTCGTCGTCGTCGTCGTCGTCGTCGTCGTTGTCGTCGTCGTCGCGGTCGGTACCCTATCCGTCCCTCTTCGGGTCGGGTTGCCGCCGATCAGCGCTGCCGCTGGCCAGGCCGACGGTCCGCGGCCGCCCCGCCGCTTGCCGGGGCGCGGCCTGCAGGGAAGAAAGAAATACCCCCCAAAAGGGGTACGATCGAAGACGAAGAGGGCGGGTATCGAGAGCTTGGGAAATATTCGTTGAATGACACTCGAGCAGATAAGAGCGAACAGTCTTAAAATGATTGTTGTTGTTGCTGCTGCTGTTGTTGTCTTGCCACTTCTGAAGAATAACTAGTGTCAATCCCCCCTTCTGGAAACACATGTGTTTTTTCAATTGAAGTGCCCCTCCCCGGGCTTGCACCCTGTTTCTTATCAGGGAAAGTCTTCCTCCTCAAACTGCGATGCTGCCCCCCGGTTTACAACATCAGCAGCTCCCGCTTGATACTTGCTCACAATGTTTTTCCAAATCGCGCTCTCGCGCGGGACTTCCTCATAATGTATGTACGAATCTCGCTTTCGCGTTGGATTTCTTCGCAATGTATTCAGACGATGCGCCCTCGACGCTCAGGAATCACGCTCTCGCGCTGGCGCGTATCACGATTTACTTGGGGATCGTGCTATCGCTTGAGACCCGCGATTCATGCTGGACGCACGCTTCAACAACCCGCCTGCTCGACCTGGCCGCCTGGGCCCGCCTTCCCGACCCGCCTGTTCGGGTCTACCCGCCCGATCTGCCCGTCTGGTTCTGCCACGTGTTTTCTGCTCCAAACCCCCATTATGTTACTTTCTCTTTCGTGCTCCATCCTCCTCCCTCCCCCTGTGCCCCTTTCTTCCATCCGGCCTCTCTTCTCCTGCCGTGGGGGCTGCATGAAGTACGCGTTGGATTTAAGAGAGATGTACGTACCCCCAAGGGAGTACGATCGAAGACGAAGAGGGCGGGCATCGAGGGTCTGGAACAGATGCGTTGAATGGCACGCACGCGCGCGTTGAATGGCACTCCTCCGCTCTGGTAGCAATCATCATTTTCAAGCAGAGTCCTTCTCCCAGAGTTTGCACCCCGTTCTATACAAGGGAAAGTGAGGGGTCACCAAATTGTGCCCCTGCCACGCAGTTTTCAACAACAGCGGCTTCCGCGTGATATTTACCCAATGTATTCCCACATTTCGCTCTCGCACGGGACTTCGTCACGCTTTATGCAGGAGTCGCGCTCTCGAGTGGGACTTCCTCGCAATGTATGCAGACGCCGCGCCCTCGACACTCAGGAATTACGCGCTCGCTGTGGATTTCGCATGATTTATATACTTGGGAACCGCGCTATCGCTTGAGACTTCCTCGCGGTGCATACAGAACGTACGCTTCAGCATCCCGCCTGCTCGACCTGGCCGCCTGGGTCCGCCTTCCCGACCCGCCTGCTAGGGTCTGCCCACCCGATCTGCCCGTCTGGTTCTGCCACGTGTTTTCTGCTCCTATGCCCCCTTCCCATGAAAATTCCATGTTCGATCCTTCTCCCTCCCCCTCCATCCGTCCCCTCTTCCCCGGTTTCAGGGGCTGCTCCAAGCACACGCGGCAGGTACAATACGGAAGATGTACCCCCAAGGGGGCACGATCGAAGACGAATCGGGCGGGTATCGTGGGTTCGGGATATACGTGTTGAACGGCACGCGAGCAGAAAAGATCGAACATCGTTAAACTGATTGTTGTTGTTGTTGTTGTTGCTGCTGCTGCTGTTGTTGTTGTTGTTGTTGTTGTTGTTGTTGTTGTTTTTTTTGTTGTTGTTGTTGTTGTTGTTGTTGTTGTTGTTGTTGTTGTTGTTGTTGTTGTTGTTGTTGTTGTTGTTGTTGTCTGTTGTGTTGTCGTCGTCATCGTCGCCGTCGTCGGTCGTCGGTCGTCCGTCGTCGTCGGTCGTCGTCGGTCGTCTTCGCCGTCGCCGTCGCCGTCGCCGCCGTCGCTGCTGCTGCCTCGCTGCTGCAGCCGTCGCCGTCCGCCACCGTCGCCGCCGCCGTCGCCCTCGTTGCCATGGTCGATTCGGAGGCTTTGAATGGCACTTGGAGGTTCTAGCTGCCACGGTGCACTGGCGCGGCTCCAAGATAAGTACATCGGATCGGTAAGTTTTGCTGCCGGTCCAGATCCTGACCCCCAGAGGCTTCCGCAAGCTTCAGGAGACACGGGAAATGAGCCAAAACTTGCAAAAAGATCAGACAGCTTCAGAACATCTTTCCCCGCCCGATCTTCGAGTGCCGAGGGCAGTACTCAGCAGCTCCTGTGCGGCGGGTTCCTGCCGTGTCGACGCGGCGGCGACCCCGGCGCGGGCGTTCACGGCTGCACACCGCGAGTGGTCTGGAATGGGCCGATGCCGAACGATCAGCGCCATCGGTTCGCCGCGATCGTTCAAGGTTGAACTGTTCACATGTCGGACGGGGCTAGGACGAGGATAAATCAGTTCCAGAGCGTTCTTCAGAGGAGGAAAAGGTACCCATACCTCTACCCTCCCATCGTTTTCCCCTTTTTGTGCCTCCTGGGCCTCCGTCGTCGCCTCCGCTGGATTCGCCTCGAAATCCTGATCAGAACGCACCCCAGGGGAGGTCCGGGGAGTAGCGGTATCGGTACCTTTTGGTCTCCCCAGTTCCGGAACGCTCTCAGAGCGTTCTGGAACGCTCTGAGAAGGCCGGGGCGCCCCAGACATCCTCCAGAGCCGTCGAGTTTCAGAGATTCCCGGCTCATGCTCACCCGATGTCGTCCTCGTCCTGGCCTCGTCTTGACGTGGTGTGAGAGACCACCGCGCAGGTCGGCACACCATCCCAGCCTGCCGTGCGTGTGCGACCCCCCCCCGTGCTCCATTTCACCTGGAGGCTCCCAGAGCTGCAGTTTTTCTTTCGCATTTGATGATGATGGTGATGACGATGACGATGACGATGACGATGATGATAATGATGATGATGGTTGATGGTTGATGATAAATGATGGTGATGATGGTGATGATGATGATGATGATGATGATGATGATGATGATGATTGATGATGGTGATTGATGATGCTGATGCTGATGATGATGATGCTGATGCTGATGCTGATGATGATGATGATGAAGATGAAGATGATGATGATGATGATGATGATGATGATGATGATGATGATGATGATGATGATGATGAAGATGAAGATGATGATGATGATGATGATGATGATGATGATGATGATGATGATGATGATGATGATGATGATGATGATGATGATGATGATGATGATGATGATGATGATGATGATGATGATGATGATGATGATGATGATGATGATGATGATGATGATGATGATGATGATGATGATGATGATGATGATGACGATGACGATGACGATGACGATGATGATACGAAAGAGCAGGGACGAAGACCGCCAGCAGTTGTTGGTTTTAGGCGACGTTTTGCGGCGGGGCATCGGGCTCATTTGTTCCGTTTCATTTTCGGGCGCACAAGAGACTGCGGGGTCCGTGTCGACATTCCCGGTCCGTCTCGTGCCCAGTCCTTCGATGGACCCTGACATGAGCGCTTCGTCAGGGAAACAAGACAACATGTTTTTGGTTACGGCCTTCGGCCTCCTGGGCTTTTGCCGGGCCCGTGGCCAGTGAAAATGATTCAAATCAAAAGCGTGTCTCCAGGAAGAGGAAAAGACCTCTTGAGAGCCACGTTTTAAAACATCATGACGACGGACTTCTGGCGATGCTTTTTTTCAGCTACAGCATGCACACCATAGAAGAAATCTTGCAAGACTGAAGCTTTGGGCAGTTTTTTTGTGTTTGAACTTCCCAAGGTGCACCCAGGACCTCTGTGGGTCTCCAGGGCCAGCGGGGGATCAGATCCCAGCTTCATGCGACAAGTCCCGCCGTGGTGTAAGCCCAGCACTCGGATGCAAGTGTTCGAGGGGCGACAGGAGGCCGGCTGGTAGTTTCAGCAATTGGCAGTATGTCGTCGCATGGCAATTTTCCGCCGTCTTGAGTTGATCTTGGATCATCTGAGGTCGTCCTGGGGCGGAGCAGGAGGATAGAGGAAACGATGAGGAGGAGGGGGAATAAGGACGGGGACGAGAAGGAACATACTGAGAAGGAAGAGGAGGAGGAGCAGCATCATAGTGCTCGACCGCTATGTGGAGCCTCATGATGGCGATGATGTTGAGGAGTAGCTCATTTTGGACCGTCTTGGGGCTGTCTTGATCCTATGCGGTGCAATATTGGGATCCCTTGGTGTCCTCTGGGTCGTCTTGGGGCCCTCTTGGGCTGTCTTTGGGCGCTCGTGGGCCGTCTTGGGGCCTTCGGTCCGTCTGGGAGGCCTCTTGAGCCGTCTGGGGCCGTCTAGGGGCTGTCTAAGGCTGTCTTGGGTCTGTCTGAAGGCCCTCTTGGGTCAGCTTGGGGCTCTCTTGAGGCATTCCTGGGTCGTCTAGGGCCTCGTGGGCTGTCTTGAGGCCGTCTTCAAGGATATTTTGGCAATGTAAAGGCCCTCTTGGGCCCGGGGGCGGTTTTCCATCCCAGATCCATTTTTGATGGTCCCGAAACCCGATGGCGGGCCCCACACATCGAAACCAAGGAAACGCCCTTGTATTGAGGGGCACTTGTGGGGCCTGTGGGGCTTGTGGGACCCGTGAGACCTGTGGGACATGTGGGACATGTGGGACTTGTAAGGCCTCTCAGGCCTGTGGGACTTGCGTGTGAGTTATGGGACTTCGCCAATACAGAAATGTTGCCCATGAGAGCTGACGGGAAAGGGGACGAAGAGACACACATATAGCGAAACCAAGCGGGCAGCCAGGATGAACAGAGCCGATCTCTGGAAACAATGGGGGTGGCCTTGGCGGGTCTCTTCCCGCCATCCCTGAGGCCCTCGGGGGGGGGGCGAGGGGAGGAGGAGGAGGAGGAGGAGGAGGAGGAGGAGGAGGAGGCGGAGGAGGAGCAGGTACCACCTAAGGTTTGTTTAACGTAAAAAAGGAGGAGGAAGAGGAGGAGGAGGAGGAAGAGGAGGAGGAGGAGGTGAGGAGGCAAAGCGCATATTGGGGCCCTCGTGGGACGCTTTTGGGCGCTCTTGAGGCCTTCCTGGGGCCGTCTTGGGGCCCCAATTCTCGGTGACTTCTCGGTGACCTTGGCATCTCTTGGCGCTCTTAGAGCTCTCTTTGCGCCCTCTTAGGGGCCTTCTTGGGAACCCTGGAGGGCCTCCTGGGGCCCTCTTGGGGCCCTGGGCGCTCTTGAGGCTGTCTGGGAGGCATCCTGGGCCCCTCTTGGGCCTCCCTTGGGCCGTCTTGGGGCCATCTTGAGGCCTTAAAAGCATATCGCAAGCGAACAGGCGAGAAGGCAACAATCATTGATCCCCCTTAGGTTTTTGAATTGTTTGCGCTTCGAAAGCACTTGGAACCGTCTTGCGGCCCTCTTGAAGCCATGATGGAGGTCATCTTGTGCAATATTGCGCTACATATTTGAGCCATCTTGGAGGCCATCTTGGAGCATCGGAGGCCGTCGTGGAGCCCGCTTGAAGCATCGTAGGCCCTCGTGGCGCCATCTTGGGCGACAACTGACGCTCTGACACCTCGGGCCCCCGCCGAAAAAAACTCAGGGAGGGGAGGGGGGGAGGATACCCAAGGGAAGAGGGGGTTTGGAGGAGGAAAGACAGAACTCGTTAGACCACCTACGCATAGAGGGATGGTGGGATTATGGGACCGATGTAGCCTGTACGACCTGCGGGACTTGTGGCTCCCGTGCGACAAGTGGGACCTGTGGGGCCGGGGCCCGTGGGCCCTGCGGGACATGTGGGACCTGAGGTACCTTTGTGGCCTCGCCGCGATACCCTCCCGCCCCCCGCTCCTCCCAGCCCTCCGCGCCATGGCCCAGGTCCTGGCCGTCGCCGAAGGGTTGGCTTCCTGAAGGGTGCGGTCTCACGGGGGCGTGGGGATGGACCGCGCGGGGGGGGTACAGTAAGGTCGTGTCGCCTGTCGGTTCCGTGCCTGGGCATCCAGATCTCCAAATTTTTCGATGCGCGGACCTCTGGAGGTCTGGACCACTTCCCCAGGGCCGGTTCTTCCTCCTGCGTCGTTGTTTGACAGTCCTGGGGCCCGTTGGGGATCTCTGGAGACCAGAAATAGCCCAAAACTGGCGGCTCCAATTTTTTCGGAGCATCGGTTCTCTGGGTGCGACCTGCGGCAAAATCACGAATCGTCGGAGATCTCGGCCTGTGCCCCCGCCGCGCCGCGGCGGTGCGCGCGGAGTCGCCGCCGCCCCCTCGAAGGGCGCCGGCGGCGCCGCCCCCGCCGGCGGCAGCGGTGCCGCGGGCGGGGCGGAGCTGCGCGCCGCGCTGGCCGCGGCGGCGGCGGACGACAGCCCAGCGGCGGCCGCGGCGGGGCTTCTCGGGAGACTTGAGACGGGGGTCAGTGCAAACGGGGGTCAGCCAGAGCGCGGGATCTTGCAGGGTCCTGCAGAGCCAGGGTTGCAATGACCCAGGCTAGCGCGCAGGATGCTGCAGGGTCTTGCAGGATCTGGCAGGATCCTGCAAAGCTTGAGTCGGTAGATCCCCGAGCCGCGGTTTTCGGTCCTCGTCGGCCGGAGGTTGGAAGTTATGGCCGTCGGTCTGATGATCGAAGCGGGATCGCCATGAAGGGAACGGCTTTTGGCTTCCCCAGGCCCTCCACGGGCCCCGGGTGCCAGAAAACGACTCAGGATGTCGAACGGGTCCTGGTGGCAGGCCCCAGGGTCAAGGACTCGTTCTCATTAGGACTTGTGCCTTTCATGCCAGAGGAGTATGGTCGTCGGTCTAATGATGGAGGCGGGGGTTCGAAGAAGGTGACACCCTCTCTGCGACAGAATGCCCTAACCAGCTTTCCATATTTACGATGAAGGGCCACAATGGGTAGACAACGGGAGAGAATTGGAGACAGCGTTGCCCGCCCGATTCTGGATCCAGCAGCTGCTCCACTAGTTTCTGAGAATAATTGAGCAGAGACCCTGCAGGATGGTTGTTTGGGGACAACCTACATGAACATCGACTTTCGGCGCTCCGCGCGGCTTTCCCTGGCTGCGCCTCTGGCGCCGCCCCTGTGGCGCTCCGCGCGGCAGGGACGGGGGTGGGGGGGCGGGCGGCGCCGATCCGAGACATTTGCGCGGTGCTCCGAAAGTTTGTACCTCTTCGGACTCGGCTCTGCAGTCGCGTTCGCGTCCGCCCGCGCTGCGAACAAGCAAAGGTCCTCATCGGATGCTGGCCGCTCTTCGGGCAGCCCCAGCCTCATGCAGTCCCCCCCCTCAGGGGGCTGCGCGCAGGCGCTCCGAGGACCACGCGGAGTGCGGAAGCCTGCGTGTCTCGCCGCGTCAGCTCCTGGCAGCCTGTGCTGCCCGGCCGAACTGGGAGAGAAAGGAGATTGGCACACCGCCCTGGAGAAGCAATGCAACTTTGACCATGGATTTGTTTGTTTTCGTCGCCTCCAGCTCTTCGTCGTTTTTGGTCTCGGGAGGCTGCTTCTGGGCCCCGGGGCCGTCAGAAGCGGATCCGGATGGAAAGCGCCCCCCAGGGAAGTCCCCAGACGATTCGTCGACACGACCTGCGAAAGTTACATTACTTCTACGGGGGTGGGTGGGATCCCCACCCTGACATGTCGATCGGTGAAACGGCCTTTCTCGGTTCTGGGGAGGGCGTTGCGGCCGCAATTTTTCGGTGTCCCACGCCCGCCGGGTCTGGTCTGGGGATCCTCTGCGGGGCATTGGAGCGGCCTCTTTGATGTGTGTGATCGAGGTCAATCCAGTTCTCATCTTGAGAGGGAGATGGTCCTCGTCCTCCTGCGCCATGTCGAGGGCGTCGGCAGTTGCTGCCTCCTGGGCGCTGTCCATGTTGTGGGTGGGCATGGCGATGTAGTCGAGGGCGCTTCGCCGAAGGGGGTTGCGTGTCCACCCCCCCGAGGCAGCGGCACCGCGCTGGGTACAGTCAACCCGCATAGTACAGATGGGCAGCTTTCCCAAGGGTGCCCCTGCATCCTCGCCCCTTCGGCCCATCCTCAGCGACGTTCGCTGGCCAACCTCGTCCGAAAAACGTCAGCATCGCCTTTCAAGGCCCTTGCATGCTTACCGCGCATCCTTACTGTGCGGGTTGATTGCCTTTCCTACCAGGAAGCGGGGCACACCCGACGCGGCGCTCCTGGGCGAGAGCTGGTGACGTCTGTGGCCGGGCGTCTCTCCCCAGCGCCGGGCCCCTCTGTGGCCGCGCAGGCGGGGACTCCGCGCGCGTGTCTCTCCGGCGCGTGGCCTCCGGCTGTCCCACGTGCGGATATGCAGATTCGGCCACATGTGTGTGCATGATTGGCCCGTTTTCCACCACCACCATAAGTTGGACGGGGGAAGGAGGAGGAGGAGGACGAGGAGGAGGAGGACGAAGAGGAGGAGGAGGAGGAGGGGGAGGAGGAGGACACCCTCCCCCTCCAACTTATGGTGGTGGTGGTGGTGGAAAACAGGCCCATCATTGCAGCTTCCTGGTGCCACGTACTTTGGAAGCCCGCGTGCGACTTGCTACTTCGGGGGTTCTCTCGGGCACTGCACCACTGCCCGCATCGGGAAGCGCTGCATTCGCAGGGTCGCTGGCCAAAGTTTCTGTTGGTGGAGCCCCTGCCCCGGGGGGGCGCTGATACAGGCCGCCCTGAAGGGGTCGGAGCAGATGCGGCGGGAGGATCGACCCGCATCCCTGACGCAGCATCGGTATCGGCGATGCGGCATGATTTGGAGTCCGATGTCATCCACCCCGACGTCACCGATGTATCGCCGATGCATCAGCGATGCATCGGCGATGCGTTGCAATCAGCCGACATCGTTACTTCCGGCTCCATTCGGGGGGCTGCCAGTCGTCGTCGCCTCCGCACGACTCCGTTGCCAATCGCTCGCCGAACCTTTCTGGCTAGCATCGGGGCGATCTCATGGCCCTCGTTCTTCTCAGGGAGGTGCGGGTTGGACATTCTGCACAGTCTGCAGCGTGAGAGGGCCCCGGTAGCTTGTCCGCGGCTCGACACTCGGCCTCCCAGTCGACTCCGCCGTGCGCCGACATTCGGCCTCCCATTCGGCCTCCCAAAGCCGCATTCTCCGCGGTCCTCGGAGGCATTCGAGAGGCCCTCGGGGGCCTATTGCGGCCGTCGGTGGCAACGCCGCCGCCGAAGCCGCCGCCGCTGCTGCCGCCACCGCCATCGCAGCCGCCATCGCCGCCGCCGTTGTCGTCGAAGTCGTCGCCGTCGGCATCGTCGCCGTCGCAGCAGCCGCGCTTGTCGCCGCCATGGTCGCCACAGCTGGCCGCAGTCGTCGTCGCCGTCGCCGTCGTCGTCGCCGTCGCCGTCGCCGTCGCCGTCGCTGGCGCCGTCGCCGTGGCCGTCGCCGTCGCAATCGTTTTGGAACTTTTCGGGCGTATGTGGAGATTCTCGAGGCCGCGGTTGGACGCAGCTCCAAAAACTGATCTCGGCGGCGAGCCCAGGGGGGCGGGCCTTCTCAGAAGGCTCAAAAGGCCCTCGGCCTGCAGAGAAGTTTTCTGGGCCTTGTCCGAAGACCGAAGACAGAGACAACCTCTCAGACGGCTGGAGGGCTTTTGAGAGGCTCCGCCGCCTTCTGAAAAGGTCTGCCCCCTCTCACTTCCCCCCCGGGCGCTTCTCGGGGCGGACGAAAGGAGGGGTGGGGGGAAACCAGGACCTGTGGGCGTTGTAAAGAATCAGGATGTGTTTTTGGGGAGGGCTTCGGGGGACCTCACGGGGCCCTGGGCCGTCAGAAAACGACTCGGGATGCAAAGCCAGCCCTGGGGAATGTGTCAAGACCTCGAGGTTCCACGATGTAAGATGATAACGACGTCGGGACCGTCGGGGTCTGGAAGGAGGGATTGGGCAGGAGGGTGTGTACGGAAGCTGCCGCACGTATGTGGCTTGGGTTCCGTCGCGGGCAATTTGCTCGATACGGTCTCTGGCGCTGGCAGGCGACGGGGAAACCAGCTATATGCAGCTGGTTCTTAGCGGGCAGAGGGCGGTCTAAAGTACACTTCTCCGCCGTCGGGGGCGGTTGTCCAAGGGCGTCTGGAAAGTGTACGCCCACACCTGCCACCGTTGGGGTATAAGCTCCCCAGCCACTCCGGACAGGCGCCTCTGATGGCGGACCAGTTTACAGTATACCGTTCTTTGCCCCTTATTCGTTGCTTGCCTTCCACCACATAGGCCCCCTTCGCCACGCGCCGTCGGCCCCGCCGTGCGTCGACGCCGCCCTCGTCGTCGCCGCTGCCGCTGTCGTCGCCGAGGTTAGCCGCACGAAGGATGATGGTCAAGGTTCGAGATTGTTGGCGGCAGCTGGTCCCCCAGCAGGGTCCTCCGCAAAGGGAGCCTTTATGCGGATCTCCTGAGGCCACCGGGGGCGCAGACGACGACGACCAACGACGACGACGACGACGAACAGCGACGGCGGCGATTGAGGACGGAGACTGGCGACGACGACGACGACGAAGATGACGACGGACGACGCCGACGACGGTAGCGACGACGACGGACGACGCCGACGACAGCGACGACGACGGACGACGACGACGACGACGACGACGACGACGACGACGACGACGACGACGACGACGACGACGGACGACCACGACGACGACGATGACGACGACGACGACGACTACGACGGACGACCACGACGACGACATCGACGACGACGACGAACGACGACGACGACGGACGACGGACGAAGGACGACCACGTCGACGATCAGCGACGGCGCTAGCGAACGAAGGCGGCGAGCGACGACGGCGCATTCGACGACGACGACGACGCCAGCGAGCCACCACCAACGACGGGCTCCGGGGGGCAGGCCGCCCCCGTCGCCGGCGTGCCCGCCCCCGCTGGTGCGCAGAAGGCCCGCGGGCCGCGCGGTCGGAGGTGGGGGTCGCGATTTCCGACGGTGACGACGATCGTCGACGACGATCGTCGATGACGACGACGACGATCGACGACCGACGACGAAGACGACGACGATCGACGACGAAGACGACGACGACTCAGACGACGAACGATCGACGGCCGACGACGATCGACGATGCTGAGAAGGCCCTTGGGCTTGCTTTCGATGCCAGGGGGGCGTCGCCAATTCTCGGAGGCGACGACGGGGGCGAATGGCCCAGGGACGGGCGTTACGCGCATTCGCCTGGGAGCCTCTGGGCGCATTTGCCTGGGGCGGGCGTTCGCGCATTCGCATTGCCGAAGGCACGGACCATCGGTGCCCCTGGATGCGTGTGTACTGCGCTGCCCTGGGCTGCTCGCCCCCGTCGTCGCCCCCGACGGTGGGTGGGTCGGGCAGTGGCAGGTGGGTCGCCAGTGCTTGCTGTGCCACTACGGTAGGCTCGCGCCGTGTCGACCGGCGGTGACCCCGCCGCCAGCGCTCCACGTTGAACGCCGCCGGCGAGCCAGCGGCGGTGGATGTCTAACGGTCTGACGATTCGGGAAGCCGGCGACCCAGAGTCGGTGGATGTTGAACGATCTGACAGTTCGGAAACAGCCGATCGCTCAAGGTTGAACGCTCCCCGCGGTGTCAGGATCTCAACGTCGGGTTGGTCACGCTACCATCCTGCCGCACCCAGACCCCCCTCGCGTCGCGCATAGATGAGCGCCGAGCTGTTTCTGCTTGTGTCCGTCGTCCTCTCGGGGCCCTCACCCGTGGCCCGCAGGAGTGGTCGAGAGCAGTTCGGGATGAAACGTGTGTCCCGTGGGGCCTAGATCTCCGACGATCTGAATTTTCCGTCCAGGCGTTTTGCGTCGGTCTCTGCCCCCAGAGCCTGTTGCGTGGCCCAGGGGCCACCGGAAAGGGAGCTAGGACGCAAAGCCACCCCAGGGGAATCTCGGCCCCCCAGATGGGGTCCGAGCAGATGGGGTCGGAGGATCGCGCCGCATCGCCGATGCATCGGCGATGCGGCTCGATGTGGAGCCCGATGTTCTTGACGACGACGGCCGCGATGCATCGCCGACGTCGCCGGCGCATCGTCGATGCATCGTCGATGCATCGGCGATGCGGCGAGATCCTCCGATCCCATCTACCCAGACCAATTCTAGGAGGCCTCTAGGGAATGTGTCGGGAGTGCGGGGACCGCGGATTGAAAACCCAGGTCAGAGGACGTCGAAAGGAGGGTCAGGTAGTGGTTATCCCCCTTAGTGGCCGCCCCCTTTAGTGGTGACCCCTTAGTGGTGACCCTCCTCGGACGCGCGCGCGCGGCTTCGGAGGGCCTCCGAGAGGCCAGCCAGACCTCCAGCGCACAGCAAGTCTGCTGTTGAGGTCTTCGTTGGTTTTTGGGGGCTGCTGGAGGTTTTCTGGCCTCGGGATGCCCGCCAGCACCTGCGCCCCGCCGAGAGCGTTCTGGGGTCCAGGACAGCCGCCGGGCCCCCCATCGTTCTGGCTGCGCGCCAAGGTGTCGGGCCGGCCGCAGAACCAGCGCGGGCCGAGCCCGAGAGGCCAGGCAGCCAGTAAGATCGGGCCGAACGAGAGGGGGGGATAGGGAAAGGGGCGGTTACGAACTCTGCTGCGTGCAGCTGGTTTCGGCCCCGCCGCCGGGGCCATTCCTCGATACATGGGCGCGTCCCGGCGCCGGGAGGCGCTGGGAAAATCAGCTACGTAGAGCTGATTCTCTACCCTACCCTTTGCTATGCCCCCCTTTCGTTCCCCCCAGTAAGACCGATCTGGCAAATTTTCGATTGTCGCGCAGACGGCGCCCAGGTGTCGAGCGCAGCACCCTTCCAGCCGAGACTCGACGGGGCCCGAACCGAACCGTACCCCCCTCGCTCCTCCTCGCTCCCCTTCCTCCTCCTCGCTCCTTGCCTCTCCTCCTCCCCCGCCTCCTCCTCCTCCTCCTCCTCTTCCTCCTACTCGCTCCTCCTCCTCCTCCTTGCTCCTCGTTCCTCCTCCTCGCTCACTCCTCCTTGCTCCCTCCTCCTCCTCCTCCTCCTCCTCCTCCTCCTCCTCCTCCTCCTCGCTCCCTCCTCCTCGCTCCCTGCTTCTCTTCGCTCCCTCCTCCTCCTCCTCCTCCTCCTCTTCCTCCTCCTCCTCCTCCTGCGCCTCGTCCGTCCCTCTTCCTCGAGGCCCGTCGAAAGGGCGGGCCGGGCGTTTTGCTTGAGATCGCCCCACCACTGATGATCATGATGGTTTCGAGCTTGCAGGATGGAGAGCGGCCCGCTTTCAAACTGCGGCTCTCGCACTAGCGCCGCGCACATTCGTTTTCACAAGTTGCGGGGGCTTCACGGATGGAGGGCGGACCGCTTTCAACATATGGCTCTCGCTTTAGCGCCGCGCACATTCGTTTTCACAAGTTGCAGACGCTTCACGGATGGATGGCGGCCCGCTTTCCACATGTAGCTCTCGCTCCACCGCCGCGCACATTCGTTTGAAACATGTGCTCATGGACGGTGGGCGGTTCCTTCTCAACATGTGGTTCTCGCTTCAACGCCGCGCACATCCGTCTTAAGAGTTTGCAGCAGCTACACGGGTTCTCATGGCTAACCTCCTAGACATGATGTTTGGGCACGATGTCGGAATGTCCGGGCGCAGCAGTCACGTTGATTCGCAGTGTGGAAGTTCCAGGAATGGTGTTCTGGCACGACTCGGGACCGTTTAGACGCAAGAGTAATGATGATTCGCGGCGTTGAAGACCCAGGAAATGTGTTCTGGCATTGATCTGGAGTTCATGTCGATGGCGTCCACTGCTGGTCGTGGCATGGGCGGTGCTGGCAGAGACGGGTCGACCGACCGGAGATCCAGCTCATCCGAAACGCGGGACACGTCTCGCAGCAATCTCCGAAAGCGACGCGAAGACCGCGAGCGCGACCGTCACGATCGATCCGATCGAGCCGCAGCCGCTTCTGACGACCTTCGCCTCCGCCAGGCCCAATAAGATCATCAACGCCACGGACGACATCAACAGCCGCCACATCAGCAAGGGGTTACCGAGCCGGTTGTCTTGACAAATGGGCAAACCTCACGGCATTACCATTCTTCGCTTCTACCTGGTCAAGGACTTCCTCATGAACACCTACAACAACGACAGTCGGCGCTATACTTTTAAAGTCCATGCCACGCGGCCAAGCCGTCCAGCTTGGGCGCCGTGTGGCACCTCCTGTATGAGGTGCACCGCCGATGATGATGATGATGCGGAGGGGGGCGCCCGCGGCTTACCGCCTTCAACCACCGTGGTTGGAGTGCTCATAGCTGCGGGCACGTCGTCTGCCGTGTAATGATGTTTCTGGCGCTGTGTGCCCCGTCCCGCCCCGCATTGGGTTGGGCGAAGGGGCCAGGGGGCGTTCTCACCCTGTGGGTTTGCGGTCGCTGGTCCAAGACTCGGTTCCTGCCCGTTGCTTCCTAGTTTGGTTTCCTCGTAAGGCACGGCGTTGGTTCCGGCGCTGTTGGGGGTTAGCCAATTATAGGAGGCCGGAGGACGGATTCAGCTTGTGCTTGCTCCCTCTTCTTTGTACACGTGTGCCCGCTGCCCTGCTAAGAGAAACTATGATGCGTGCCAGATATGTCAGGGCATGCTTGCCCGCGCCCAGTGCGGCGTCACCTTTGACCCGTTTGGGCAATGCAACGACAGCAGGCGCATCTATTTGGACAAGCACACGGACACCGCCATCAGGATCAGCCCCAACATTGGTTCCCTGGAGACGGTCCAGCACACGGGGGCAGCGGCTCAGTTCACGGACTGCAGCAGCCGCCTCCTGACGCTTGGGTCGAAGCCGCAAGAGTGGCTGGACTACCCCAACGGCAATTTCCACAGGAGGGACCCCAACCCCACCCAACGGCTATTGCCACAGGAGGGACCCCAACCCCACCCAACGGCTATTGCCACAGGAAGGACCCCAACAATTGCCGCCAGCGCCCAAACAGACACCTGGTGAGCAGCCGATTCCGCTCTCGCCTATCCTGCAGCCATCAGTGCACACGCAGGCTGCTCCAGCACCGGACTGGGCAAGGGCCACGGGAAGAACAGCAATTTCAACAACGACGCCATCGCCAACGCCCCCCGACACATCGTGGACCAGCAGATCTGGGACATCGCGTTGCAGGTCCAGCACATTTGCCAATCAGCGATGGCTGGGGCCATTCAGGAGATGCAACGCGCGCTTCAGAACCTGCTGGCTCCGACGGAACTTCGCCTGGATCTCGCAGAAAACGACCTACGACAATTATACCAGGCGCTGCAGCGCCAAGAATGCGACCGGCGTGACATGCGACAGGACTTGAAACGCATCCAACGAGTCCCTAACGCTACTGAGGCGGAATGCACAGTGACAGAATGGGACTGGGGACCTAGCCCATGCATCTTCACAGCAGGCGCGCCCCTTGCGGCCCCGGTCAGCGAGGTCAAGCGCGCCATCGGCTAGTGGGCAAACGACGCCAACATCAGCGTGGACGAGTTCAAGATTAACGGCGAAGCACCTGCGCAGCATCGCAGTCCGAGCCGGCGCCGGCAGCTTGCCAGAGCCACCCAATTCGCAGCCGCTCTCCGCATGCGCGGCGGGGGAGAGCGGCAACTGCTATGCAACAACACCGCTGGCGCGGACACCCCGCTCTCCGTGGGCCCCGACAAGTGCGCAAAGCAGACTCGGAAGGAGGTCCACGCTCGTTATTTGTTGGGCTTACTGGAGCTGGCACATCCACGGCATGCGTGGTGCGCGAACAAGCCGGAAGGGCCGACGCGGGCTGACGCCGCCTCGCTCGTGGAGGTGCGCCCGCAGGGGCAAGCATGACCAACGGCCCTACAACGGAGCACCACCGTCGTCGCTTCCCAGAACATCGGTTGAGACGCAGCCCCCCAGACTTTCAATGACCTTTTTCACAGAAGCGGTAACAGCTGGCACCGACGCCAGACACTCCAGCGACTCGGCCGTTGCATTCATCCATCTTTCTGCAGGAGTGCCGCGGGTGCGAACGCGCCCTGCGCGGCATGCTGACCCAGTGCCCGACGGAGCACCTGGGGGCCATCGCGGCAGCGGAGGTGAAGCCGTTCTCACACCATGGAATGCGGACGCCGCCCTCGCCGCAATCCCCGCCAGCAGCCCCCCGCAGATTCAATGCCGCGAGATCGCGGCAGCCCGATTATTTTCCATCAGCATCCTGAGTCCTGTTCCCCAGCAGGATCTTCGCGCCCTGAACGCTCAGAACCATCATCATGGGAGACGCCAGCATGGGCGCATCTGGCAAACCTAACTCGACTGGTACGCCTGTTGACGAGAAGACGGTCTGCGGTGGCTCTCCACTGCGGCGTGTAATTTAAACATCTCGGACAAACCACCGCGCCCCCCCACGCCCCCGACGGGGGCTCCTCGGGGAGAGGCTGCCGCGCGCAAAAAGGGGCACGCATTGCGGAGGCGATTATTCTACGAGAGCGGCATGGCAGAGCTGGAGACGAACCCACCCGCGCACTTCTCCACACACTGCATCTCATGCTGCTGTGCCGACAGAGTCTTCGCATCAGCGCCCTCGCATCTTTCGCAGGAGACCGCGTGCTCAGCGTCTCTGCTCCAGGAGGCTGCGCACCTCGGCGCTTGGAGATTCAGCTGCAATGCGATCGTCGAGTTCACGTTGCAGGTCATGAGCACCACGAGCATCGAGAACCGCCGCATCCTGGTCTCCATGTAAAAGCGCGCCGGTCTCCGACACCACGCCGACCGACGCGTCAACCGTGCCGATATGGGAATTCTTACCACCGCTAGGGCGTGGAAGACTTGCGAGGAGATCCTGGCGACTGCGGCCTGGGAATTTCACGACGAACGGTCGCAGCTGCACTTTGGCGATCTTGCCGAAGGGGTTGAGGATGCACACATAGTGACGATGATATCCATAGCTCGATGCACACAAAGCAAGATCCTCGGCTTGCTGCCCGCCGAGTCGCCGCCGCTGAGCTTAGCCCAAAGTATTTCGCGATGCATGGCGCAGAAGGGACGCGTCAATCTCGGACCCCGCGGGCTTCGAGAATTACATGGCATGATAAGTAGCGCACGCGCAGCAACAACTTGCAACTGCACGCCTGAAGCGTCAACCACGGCGTGCCCGAGCACGCCCGCAAATCTGCGCGAGTGAAGCTCGAAGGATTGCCCGCCTGGTGCGCGGACGGGCACTGGCGCGGAAACGCCGCCGTCACCGCCTTGTTCTTCAAGGGGGTACATGGCTCAACCTCGCGGGCCCCAGCAGCAGCGTGGAGAGCAGCTCGCGGACGAGGCCAGCAATGCCCGCCGACCGGAGGACATCGCCAAGACTCTCATCGTGCTTTGGGGGGCCGATATTCACCGACGCCTCAAGTGGCTGAACAGTCCATCCGCGCCTATCTTGACAAGCGCGCACCTGCTCGGACAGCCTTCGACATCGACACCCCGACATGCCGCGATCTATGCCGCCTCATCCGCAACAGCTCGGACACCGCGCCGGGGCCCGATCGCCTTGCGCACGCGGCCTGGAGCGCGCGCGTCAAGTTTCAGGAATGCCTGTGCGATCTGTCGCAACACCTCTTCGCGGGAAGCCTGGTGCCGGCAGGGCTACACTACGGCGACGCGGTGATGCCCCCTAAAAACGACGACCCGCAGGATCGCGTGGAGGTCAACCGCCGCGCGCGCGCCCTGCGGCGACTGCTTACCAAACGCAGCGACAGCAAAATCTTTGCTGCTAGCATCAATCACGAGCTCAAAAAGGTGGCGCAACCCGAAGGACATACCAAGCCAAGGGGGATTCGTGCCGCAACGCCGTTTGATCAAGCACATCGCCAGGCTGGACGCGCAGGCCCGCATAGCGAGCAAATTAAGCAACGTGGAGGCGATCAGACCATGCTTCGGCTGTTTCGACATCGAGGTGACGTTCCCGTCATTGGCGAATACGTGGCCGTGGATGGTGCCGCGCCGGTTCCTTCTCCCCGAGGGCTTCATCAACGCCTCCATGGCCCTGTCTTAGAACAGCTGGGTGTTCTGCCGTGTGGCCCACCTGCACGAGCCCATTTTTTGGGCTTCGGGAGGCGTCGCCCAAGGGCGTCCGTTTCCGGGCCCGCCGCGGGAGTTTGCCACGGACCTGCTGCTCCAGCACCTGCGCTCCAACACCGTGGAGAGCAACGAGCGACGCCGGCGCACGCGCCGTCGACACTGGCGCCGCGTCGAACAGTACGACACTCGTGCGGCCTGCCCTCAGCGCCGCTCCCGAGCTTGCAGCTCGTGTCCTTCAAACGGGTATAGCTGTTTTAGATACTTTCTGGTGCGATGTCACATTCGACACGCAAATCCCATCGGAGACTGGCTGCAAGAGCTGGTTCCAGATTGGTTGGGGTTCAGAGTAGAGAGATTCGTTCGGAATTGGGGGTGTTGATGGGGCCAGGGTCAACGAACTTCGACCAATTCCAAGCAACAGAGCAGGGATGGCTCGATTAAGTTTCTTGATTCCGATCATTCGTGCAACTGCCGATGCATCCTTGCGATCTTACTTCATCTTCGCTCTTCCAGAGATATGCTATCTTGTCGAGCTTTTGTCCAGGTCTTTGGATGCTTCGGTCGAGAGGGAAGGGGGTATTGCTTCAACGCGTCTTCCGACTCCCCCAGGGTTCTTTCGACGGCCCGACGCTCCAGTCTTGGTGCGCATGGATTCCTGGGAGCACCCATTGCCAGCTGATCCTGTGGAGTCAAGCCCGTCTCTACGGAGTTTACACGTTCACAAATCGAGGTAGACTCTGCGAGGCGAGTGGTCGAACACGCTATGGCGCGAGCCACAAAAAATTGGTCAGCGCTTGGCGGAAGCTCGAGGCAGCACGCCGTGGCGCACACTTCCTCGCTCGAGGCTTTACGCTGCGAGTCAGGCCGCCCAGCAGGGAGCGGCTGCAAGGGAATCCGTTCGGCACCAAAGCAGTCGCCAATCTATAACTAGCACTCCGCAGGGGCGGAAATTCGGGCGATTATAGCCCTCGCCGCAGCCTCCGCCCCCAAGGTGTCTACCTCTCCTCGCTTGTCTCTTCTCCTTCCCCTTATTCCTTGCACCGCCTCCTTCGACGCCGCCGCAAAGCATGGCTGGGCCAGTCGTGACCAGAACTCGAAGCGGTTCTTCGCGCGTCGAGGCTGGCCTCGGCATGGACCCGCACCATATGTTTCATTGGAGGCTAGACCACAACGTCGCGCTAAGGTGGAACACCCACGCCCGAGCTTGTTCGGACGACGAGGCTGCCCCGATGCGTTTTTCATTACCTCACTTGCCCATGATTCCTTCGTTGCATGGCCCTTGCATGCTCTTATTTTCCCTCCGACCCTGTCGTCCGCATCGGGCTCGCGCACCCGCACGAAGAGAGTGCCCAAGTCGAGCGCGAACACGCACACGCACTCACAGTGCTAAGCTGCCATTCCTACAGCAAGATCCGGCACGCATCAGTCCATCCACAGAGTGACGCTGCATACGTCAACTTGATCAGAGCAGCTCAAGTTGCCATCAGCACGTAGGTGGGATGGGCACTTGCTGCGCCTCACGCTACGTGCGCTCCTCCTCCTCCTCCTCCTCCTCCTCCTCCTGCTCCTCGCTTCTCCATCGCTCCTCTCCCCCGTCGCTGCCCAGGAGGACAGGGCGCCGGCGCCCAGCGCTCCCAGCAACCCCGAGGCCGCTCCGGGCGGCGAAGAGCGGGCGGCGGGCGCGGCCAAGGTGCGCTTCACGGGCCGTCGTCGTCGCCGTCGCCGTCGTCGTCGTCGCCGTCGTCGGCCTGCATTTCCGTCTTTCCTTCCTGCTCCTTCCCTCCTCCATAGCCTCCTGCTCCCTCCCCTTCTCCTCCTCCTCCGCCTCCTCCTCCTCCTCCTCCTTCTCCTTCCTCCCTCCATCCCTCCATCCCTCCATTCCTCCCTCCTTCCCTCCCTCCCTCCCTCCTTCTCTCCTCCTCGTTTCTCCCTTCTCGCATCGTCCTCCCTTGGCGGGTCGGCCGCCTTTCTCCTGGCCCATGCCGCGTGGCGGGAAGTAGGCGGCCCGGGGAGGCTTCCGGGTGCGGCACGCTCGAGAGAGAACAGCCCACCCCCACACCCATCAGGACGGTATTTATATTTTTCCGGAATGCTCGTGGACGTAGTCGACACGCCCCCACGGCGACGATTGCGAATCGCGACGTTTCCGGCTTAGACATCTTGGTATATTTTTTGTGTACAAAAAAGTAGGTTGTGCGTGTGTTATATAAACGTTTTTTTCTGCGTTTGTGAGATTGCGCCGGTGCACGTGCGCGATTGTGCGATTTGATCCATGTCCCAGGCAATTTCGTGCGCGGCAGTTTGTATCAAACATGTGGGTGTTTATCAAACCATAAGCACGTTGTTGTTTTTATAATACTGTTTGTTCCCGGCCCTCGGCGGTTGCATTTATCGCAAGTTGCCATGGGCCTCTCTTGGGGCACATGCAGCTGACGACGGTCGCCGGGCCACAGGCTCCAGAGAGAAACTTTGAACGTATGAAGTGTCATGTGGTGGGTGTGGGGGGGTGGCGTGGGTCGCCTCCAATTGCAGGCGGCGGCGCACCAGCTGGGGGCCCGCAGGTGGACGTGGGCCGTCCCCACTTCGGGGCCACACGCAGCGCCTCCTTGGCAGCGGCGTCGAGCTCGTCGCGGCCCTCGGCGGCAGCACGCTGGCGAAGGGGGGGGGGGAATGCCTCGGGGACCCGGGGAGGAGGCCTCCCCTGCACCCGGAACGCGCTCAGCGGGGGCTGGGCACGGCCGCCAGCCTGCTCCGCCACCCGGGCCTCAGAGATCGGGTGCTTATGCCAGGCGACACGCCGGCTCGGACCGGGCGGCACGATCCTGGCGGAGCCGCAGCTCAACACCCGTGGGCGAGGAGCCGATCTCGGAGGAGGTGTGCCGCATCGGGTCTCGTGCTGGCTCGGACAAGAAGAACGGCTGGGGCTCGAAGGCGATCGAGGGGACGGAAGACACGCTCGCCGTGACGGTGGAGCGCGGCGTGGCTGCCCTCGGACTTGGCTCGCAGAGGAGTTCGTGGAGCGTGCACCGACGGGCGACGAGAGACCGATGGACATCGAGAGTACCGGGCAGGTGCGGCAGGTGATGCACAACGAGAAGACCGCGGAGGCGCAGGGCGCGCCACAGTTCAAGGAGAAGCCGGCGGCTGTCGAGAGTATCAAAAAGAGGGGCCGCGGGCAGGGTACCACGAGAACGCCGACGAGGTGCAGCGCGCGCCGTCGACCGAAGGAGATCGAGGAGATCGGTAGGGGTCCGCAGATGGAGCGCCACAGGGAGACCGTCGAGGTGCAGCGTGCGCAGGCGGTCGACCCCGACGGAGGAGAAGGCGATCGGGGGTCGCCCGCCGCGGCCGCACCTATGGTCCGACGATCTGGACGAGCATAGATCTCCTTTCATTTCTAAGTGTTCTATCCGGGGCCTCTTTAGAAACGAGCACAAGTAGAAATGAACACGATTAGAAATGAACGACGTGTAGCCTGCTGATCACAGAGTAGCAGGCGACGGGCCCGCTGCTCCCGACACTGAACGGGCCCTTCCAGCAGGCGACGAACGCCAGCGACCACGACACCAGCGAGGCGCCCAACTCTTGCGAACAGCCGACAGGGATCGAGAAGATCGATGAGGTGCTACAGGTAGAGTACCACGAGAAGAACGTCGAGGTGCAGAATGCGCCGCTGGCCGACAAGAAACCGCAGGAGATCGAGAAGGAAGGATCGGAAGTCGCGGCGCCTGGGTGCGCCGAGGAGGCCTCGCGGCGCCGGGCCCTGATCAGCCTCTGCTCGGCGGCCTCGCAGCGCGGATGAGCATTGTGGCAGCGAGAGACAGGCTCCAGGTGAGCGACGGACGACATCAGGGTCGTCTGCGCCGACATTAGCGCGTAACCTGTCCGCGTAAGTTCGCGCGTAAGCGCCCTCGTCTCCCATGTGGCGTGCCGCACCAGAGGCCCACGTAAGCCACTGCGTAAGGTCGCTGTGCCATCTCGCGTGAGACCCATTTTTGATCGTCGAACAGGTGTAGCTCGAGGAGTTCGCGGAGCTCGCAAGGCGACCTCGTTGAGGTCTCGAGGCCGCCGCGGTACTGGACAGCAGCAGCATATGGTCGGCCTGCACGGCTGCCTCGGCGCGCGCCGCGGAAGCGGCCCATCCCCTGTCCCTGGCCAGTGTCAAGAGTGGGACGGTCAGCGGTTCAAAGATGGGATCCTGAGGCATGGGGTTCTACGGGCAGGAAGGGGCCCAGGGGTGGATTCACACTGTTTGAGGCACCCTCGTCCTTCGGACCCCGTCCCTCAGGACCCCATCTTTGAACCACAGGCGACGGGGGATGGGCTGCGCTCTCGAGGGTCCCAAACCCGCTTTCCAGACAGGGGGGCCCTAGCGGAGAATCGGACAAGGCGCGGCGCGGGGCGGTCCGCTCCGAGGCGTGCGAGGGCGCGTGCGCCCTTGCGTGCCCTCCCGAGCGGTTCACACTCCCCCCATGGTCCGCACTTTCCCCGCGGCCTCTGCATGGCTGTGAAAGCTCCTCCAACTCTTCTCCTGCTCCTCCCCATCGATTCCTCTCATCCTCCCCCTCCCCCCTCTTCACCCTTCCCTTCTCCTCCTCTGTCTGGTAGGGCGATGGTAGTGCCCTGATGGCCGTGGAGTGCGGGATTGCCGTCGCGAAGGTCAGTGGATTAGATTCTTGCGATGCCACTGTAAATCTGCTCTCCCTGTGCCGTCTTCCCTCGTCCTACTCCTCCCTCCCTCCTTCCATCTGCCCCCGTGCGCATGTTTCCGCTGGCGCGCGCGGGAGGCGGAGGAGGAGGAGGAGTAGGAGTAGGAGGAGAAGGAGGAGAAGGATGAGGAGGAGAGGGGGGAGAAGGAGGGGAGGAGGAAGAGCACGAGGAGGAACAAGAGGAGGGAGGAGGAGGGGAGGAGGAGAAGGAGGAGGAGGAGGAGGAGGAGGAGGAGGAGGAGGAGGAGAAGGAGGAGGAGGAGGAGGAGGAGGATCGAGGATTCAGGATACTTGTCCTTGCCGGGGGGGGGGCTCCAGAGCCCCCCGGGAACCTCCGTGGAGATTCCAGAAGTTTCCAAAAGGCACCTTCGAGGATGGTTTTGGTCTGCAGGGCTTCGCCGCCGCCCAAGCCCCGAAAGCACCGGGATGCTGACATTGGGGCACCAGGGAGGACACCGTCAGGCCTCGTCGGGGCTCAAGAGACGGGGGTCGTTGCCAACGGGGGTCAGCCAGAGCGCCCGATCTTGCAGGATCCTGCAGGGCCAGGGTCGTATTGAACCGGGTTTCGGTGCAGGATCCTGCAGGATCCTTCGTATTGACCCGGGTTTGGGTGCAGGATTTTGCAGGCTTTTGCAAGGCCTGACTGACCCGGGTCTGGATTGACCCGGGTCAGGAGATCCCCGACCTCGTCCCAGCTGCTGCGAGTCCATGAGGGCGGCAGGCCTCTGCGAAGCCGCTGAGGGGCTCGTGCTGGGACGTAGCGATGGGCGTGGTGGCCAGTGGCCAGCACGGCTCCCTCGAGCGATCGGGGCGAGCATCCACGGGCTCCACAGAGGGCGATCGAGGCCCTCTTCCACACAACATGCGAGAATCCCTGCGGGCTTGACTACGCTGCTCCAATCGACTTGCGGGGACCAAGCCAGATAAATCGAGACAAATCTGGATAAGTCGACGTGAACCCAGGTAAGTCTACAAAAACCAAGAGATGTTCAGGTAGTCCTGAAGAATCGTAGCAGCTTGAACGCGAGTCGAGGGACAGTAGAAGCCGTCACGCCCCCATTGAGAGGAGTGAGCTCGCTTCCCCGGAATCCACAGGGCGACACGCTCAAAGAGGGGGGTCAAGACCCGAGGACATCCATGAGGAGTCGTCGCGATCGGGGCCAGGTTCCGGACGGCCTGACCCACCGCGCGCACACAGACCTCCTGACATCCCTCCCTCACCACTCTCAGCCTCCCCACTCCTGTCTACAATCCAGGGCCGATTGCGCTTCGATGGGTCCGGTTCGATGCCGTGTGCACCCGGCCCGCTCCGATTCGGTTCCGTTTCTTGGCGATCCGATGCGGCCCGATGCTCGCATGGCGTTGTTGTGTATCTTGGCGCGGCCTATCCGATTCGATTCCGGCTCCGTGCCGATGCGGCATGGTCCGACGCACGCACCGAGTCGTTCCGATTTCCGATTCGATGTTGTTCGATCTTGCAGCCGCCTCAAGACATTCGCGGCGGGGTCGAGCTCCGAGTCTGGGGGGAGAGCCTGAGATCTGGCCCTTGCACACCAAGCATCTTCAGCAGCCTCTGATGCAAGCGACCAGACCTCGAACACCCGCCCCGATGCAGCAGAGGCTGCGACAGGACGGGATCGATCGGCTGCTTAACCAGTCGGCGATCGGGCTCGGCCCAATGGGAGGCGCAGTCGAGAACGATGGGAGCGTTGCTCGGGGCTCAAGAGAGGGGCCAGCCAGAGCGCCGGATTTTGCAGGGTCCTGCGGGGCCAGGGGTGCACTGCTCCGGGCTCGCGTGCAGGATCCTGCAGGATCTTGCAAGGCCCGACTGACCCCGGCTTGCCCTGATCCGGGTCGGTCGATGCCCGCGTCTCCAGATCGTGTGATCGGGGAGACGTGTGCGCGCGGCGTGGCCAGCCTGGGCGAAGGCCGGAGACACGTGTTGGCCGTGGCCGTGCACGCCGGCCCTTCTCCGCGGCCTCGCTCCGTCTGCTCTCCGTGAACACCGGGGCGCGATGCTCTCTGATCCGCGCCCCGGCTGCGGCTGCCGAGCGCCTCGTGCCCTGCGCCGACGCTGACCAGAAGCGTTTCCAGTTTCCTGTTTGGTGCAGCGCGCACATCAAATACAGCATCGGCCTGCGAGCAGGTGCCCATCGAAAATTTGTCATCCTCCGATGGCCCCAGAGATCCACAGAAGCTCTGAGGCACCTGAAGGGCCCTCAAAGATCGACGAAGAATCTGCCCCAGATTTAGTATAGCAAGATTACTTGACCTCAGAAATTCCTGGGCCATGCCTACGGAGAGCCCTTTAGCCAGCGTGATCAGGATGGTCCGATCCCAGAGCCGAGTCCTCAAGCCTGATGCGCTCCTGGAATTCTCGAGCAGGTGGAGAGGGGACGCGCGACAGTACGTAGCAGGCTGAACGTGCTCCACCAAGCGCCTCAAACTCCCGGGCCCCTCCTGAGAATGACCAGTATGAGGAGGAGGATAATGAAGAAGAAGAGGAGGAGGAGGAGGAGGAGGAGGAGGAGGAGGATAATAATGATGATGAGGAGGAGGAGAAGGAGGAGGAGGAGGAGGAGGAGAAGGAGGAGGAGGAGGCGGAGGAGGAGGAGGAGGGAGGGGGTGTGGGGGGGGCAGGAAAGCGAAGGGGAGGGGGGAGCGGGAGGAGGTGGGGAGGCTGAGGGAGGATGAGAGTCAAAACGCGTCGCTCGTATTTCGGAGATCAGCACGGCGTGGCACGATTTGCGGATGGCAGCAGACGGCAGGGAGAGCGCTCCCCGCAGAACCGTGGCATGCCCAGACATCCGACGTCGAGATTTTTCCCCAATGTGGCTCCCCTGAGGTCTGGACCTCTGGTCCTGGGGCCTGGTAAGCGCTCCCGAGATCAAACATACCTCGAAAGTCATCCGTCGCGATTGCTTCACTACGCGAGGACGGGGGCAGAAGTGCGCTGTTACCTCCTAATCACTGACAGCTGCATTTTCATGAATGCATCATATTTGTGCATTATGGATCGTACCACTTACGTATTGTTTCCTGTCTTTGGCCTCCCCGTCCTGTTGGCTCCGCCTCCAGTGTGATAGAAATGTGGCTTGGTTTCAATCTCCCTCTGCTCCGCGATGGTTGTAGTTGTGTAAGCTGTCGGCTTGCGACCAACAACCATAAGTTGTGAGTGGTTCGATGTTTGCTCTCCAAGCTTCACTCGCACTCCTGCCAAGCAACGGTGCAATGCTGATCCCAGTTCGCTTGCGGATTATGTCTTTCCTCGCCTTTCTTCCTTCCTACGGTTGCTCCTCCTTGGGACCATTTACAGAACAGCTGCTTTTCCTCTCAGGCCGCTTTTCCTCTCTGGCCGCCCACAGGTCGGCTCGTGTTGCATTCCTGTTTTTTCTGGGCGACCTTGCGATGCGCCCTGTGGCTGCGATGAGGCGAGACAACGGTGGTCGTGGCGCGCAACGTTTGTGATCGCCCAAGTACGATCGGTTGCTTTTGCCTAGCGTGTCGCGCCGCCGGTTCTGGCCCACCACGCTGCGGCGCGACACGCCAATCTCGACTACACGCAAGAGTGACCTTTCGACGGAGTGACCTCTGGTGCGGGCCTAAAGGGGGCCCCCCGATCGCCGAACGCGATGCGGCATGAGCGTCTTGCGCGCTTGTGGTTGGCCCCCCCGCGGCCCCCAATGAACCGCGCACCAAAGGTCACTCTTACCCAGGGTCACCCTTGCGTGTAGTCGACAATCGCGTTCCAGTTCCCGAGCAGCCGCGTCCCGAGCCTTTTTCCTGGCCTCTCGCCCCGCGACGCGGAGCGACGCGCTAATTATCCGCCCGCAGGGCGCAGCGCGCCGCCAGGGGCCGCCGCCGCCGCCGCCGCGCCGAGCGAGAGTTCCCGGCCACGAGTCCTCTTCCTCCTCCTCCTCCTCCTCCTCCTTTCCTGCTCCTCCTCCTCTTCCTCCTCCTGGCCAGTAAGCCGAGCGGCCAGCCCCCCACCGTCCGAAGAGGTCCCACAATGTCGTCGGCTGACGTCGTCGTCGTCGTCGTCATCGTCGTCCCCGTCCCCGTCGTCGTCGTCTTCTTCGTCGTCGTCGTCGTCGTCGTCGTCCGTCGTCGTCGTCGTCGTCGTCCTCGTCGTTGTCGTCCGTCGTCGTCGTCGTCGTCGTCGTCGTCGTCGTCCGTCCGTTGTAGTCGTCTTCCGTTGTCGTCGTCGACGACGACGACGTCGTCGTCGTCTGTTATCGCCGTCGTTGTCGACGTCGTCATCGTCGTCGTCCGTCGTCGTCGTCGTCCACGTCGTCGTCGTCCGTTATTGTCGTCGTCGACGTCGTCGTCCGTCGTCGTCGTCGTTGTCGTCGTCCGTCGTCGTCGTCGACGTCGTCGTCGTCGTCGTTCTCCGTCGTCGTCGTCAACGTCGTCGTCGTCCGACGTCGTCGTCGTCGGTGTGTCCGTCGTCGTCGTCGTCGTCGTTGTTCGTCGTCGTCGTCGTCGTCGTCGTCGTCGTCCGTCCGTCCGTTGTCGTCGTCGTCCGTTGTCGTCGTCGTCTGTTGTCGTCCGTGTCGTCGTCGTCCGTCCGTTGTAGTCGTCGTCCGTTTTTGCGTCGGCGTCGTCGTCGACCACGTCGTCGTTTGTTATTGCCGTCGTTGTCGACGTCGTCATTGTCGTCGTCCGTCGTCATCGTCGTCGTCCGTTGTTGTCGGCGTCATCGTCGACGACGTCGTCGTCCGTCGTCGTCGTCGTTGTCGTCGTCGGTGTCGTCGTCGTCGTCGTCGTCGTCGTCGTCGTTTTCCGTCGTCGTTGTCGTCGTCGTCGTCGTCCGACGTCGTCGTCGTCGTTGTGTCCGTCGTCGTCGTCGTTGTCATCGTCGTCGTCGTCCGTCCGTTGTCGTCGTCCGTCCGTTGTCGTCGTCGTCTGTTGTCGTCGTTGTCGTCGTCGACGACGTCGTCGTCTGTTGGCGCCCGTGTCGTCGTCGTCGTCGTCGTCGTCCGACGTCGTCGTCGTTCTCCGTCGTCTTCGTCGTCGTCGTCCGTCGTCGTCGTCCGTCGTTGTCGTCGTCGTCCGTCCGTTGTCGTCGTCGTCCGTTGTCGTCGTCGTCCGTTGTCGTCGTCGTCATCCTCGTCGTCGGTGTCGTCCACATCGTCGTCCGTTGTCGTCGTCGCCAGTCGTTGTCGTCGTCGTCCGTTGTCCGTTGACGTTGTCGTCGTTGTCGTCGTCGTCGTCGTCGTCGTCCGTTGTCGTCGTCGTCGTCGTCGAGCGGCCAGCCCTTCGCCGCCCGAAGGGGTCCCAGAACGACATCGACGACTTGCTCAGCGACTTCGACGCGGCCCTCGCGTCTGTGGGAGGCGCCAGCCCCGTGCGCTCCATGCAGCCCCCTCCAGAGGGGAACGCCAATGTGGGGCCTTTCAGACTCAGACGCCCTCGCGTCGGTTAAGAAAATACCACGGACGGTCTTGAGAGCCGCTTGGGGCCTCTGCGGGCTTCGGCGCCAGTGCCGTCACGACACGAACCTGCCATATTTTTCTCAGTCCGTGTCCAGTCTGCCAACGTATTGAACGAGGCAGCGCTCAGGGGGGGCAGCGACAGGGGTGGACCGGCTCAGGGGGAGGCATCGACGCCAAGCCGCCCCTTCATCGCCAATCGGGGCCGGGGTGCCCCGCCCCGCCCCGGAACGTGCGGTCCCGCTATCGAGGTCCTAGCGCAGCTGTGCCAGCCATGTGTTGGCGATTCCGAGTCGATGTTCTTCCCGCCTGGGCCAGGACCCCCCACCTTGCTCCCTTCGAGGCAGCCTCGCTTTCGGCCTTGGGGGGCCCTCTCGCCGGGTGCCTGGGTCGTAGAAAAGCGGCTCGTGATGCACGCCTGGCCCTGGGCAATGGATCGAGACCCTGAGGGGTCTAAGCTGTGCGAAAATCATGACGTCGGGTGTGTGTGTGTGTGTGTGTGATAAGGGTCTCGCCTTCGGAGCATCTCGCCGTCGACGGGGGGCCCTGCGGAAGCAGCACGGCGGGTCCGCCAGCGGGGGCAGACCGAAGCCGTTGGAAGGTCGGTGAAGCAAGATCGAGACGCCATTGCCTTTTGTCGGCGGCGAGCGAGGGGGGGAGACGAGAAGAAGAAGGCCTTCTCAGAAGGCGGCGGGGCTTCTCAGAAGCCCTCGCGCCTTCTGAGAAGTGTTTTTTTTGTTTTCAGGAGAGGCTTAGAAAACTTCTTAGAAGGCTAGAGGACTCCCGAACTTTCTGAGAAGCCTTCTCTTTCTCACTTCCCCCCCCCTCGCTCGCCGCCAATTTGGGCCCAGGTTTTCCAGAGTCGGCCAACTGCGCACCTGCGCAGGTCCTGGCCAGGCCGGCCCTGGGCCCAGGGCTGGTGCACGCGCCTGCCTTGGCCAAGCCAGGAGGGCGCTCGCACCGATCCTGGCCCCAGGGTGGGCCTGGCCAGGACAGGTGGCGGAGTGTGGTTGCCTCCTCTGTCCTCTCCCCGCTCTTGCACGCTGGCCCAGTCGCTTCTCGGTACCCCCGTTTAGCTCTATCGCTGGTGCAACCAACTCTGCCTCGCCGCCGACGGAAACGTGTGTGTGTGTGTGTGTGTGTGTGTGTGTGTGCGTGTGTGCGTGTGTGCGTGTGTGCGTTGGTGTGTGTGTGTGGGTGTGTGTGTGTGTGTGTGTGTGTGTGTATGTGTGTGTGTGTGTGTGTGTGTGTGTGTGTGTGTGTGTGTGTTTGGCGGGCTCCTTCATCGAGAACAGAAGAACCCCTAACGATACCACAATGAAGACGTAGCCTCACTCAGGCTCCCGTTTTCAAATCGGGGATCATCCATCTGGGCGGTTTGGCATGGTGCACCTGCAGAAAAGACCCCTACCCGATCATAGTCATAAAGTTTTTGGACCTTCAAACTTAGGTCTACATCTGGCCTGTCCCTTTACAGGTGGAGTATGCAAAAATAGTCAAAAATCGTATGGGGACGATTTGGTCACTATGTTTGAGCATTGTTGTAATATGTTTTGGCTACTTTTTTTATTTTTCGCCAAAACCCCCAACTGCACAGGGACAGGCCCGACCTAAACTTCGGTCTGTTCTCAAAGGGCCAGGTTTTTGTATTGCTAGTCATTCCTGCTCTCCTCTCGTGGTCCTTCTTGCCGCTCTCGCGTTGGTCGCTTCGCAGAGTCGAGTCGTACTGCTTACGTCTGCTTGTCATTCTATATCATACCCATCGGCTCCTGCACGCACGGCGCCGAACTCGCGCATGATCTGACCCCACCGGGTCCCGAGACCTCGCTGGAGATCGCCCGTGCTGCACGCCTCGCCACAGACCTGCCGATGGCCAGATTGCGGAAGGCCAGCAGAACTTAGGTTCAAGCGTGGCTGGCGAACTTAAGGATAACGCTCCGCCTCTTCCTGCTCCTGCTCTCTCTCTCTCTCTCTCCTTCCCTCCTCTCTCTCTCTCTCTCTCTCTCCTTCTGGTCATCTCAAAAATGCGCTGCCTTCTGCGTCGAGCGCCTTCTCGAAAAGCGGCCTGGCCTTCCTCTCCACAGTCCCTTGGCTCCTGCTCCTGCTCTCTCTCTCTCTCTCTCTTTCTCTCCTTCTCGTCGGCTCTAGGTGCATTGCATTCTGCGTGGAGCGCCTTCTTGGGAGGCGGCTGGGCCTGGCCTCACCGCCTCTTCCTGCTGGCGCACCGTGGACTTGCCTGGCGTGCTTGCCGGCCTGTGGCCACCCCATGCCGCGTGTGCGAGACCCCGCGCTCGGATAGAACTCCTGGGAGGTTAACTTCAGCATTGGCGCTGGTAAACCCGTGGTCGAAACCGGCCTAATTCTTAGGAGGTTTAGTCAGCATTGGTGCCAGTATTTCCGTGGCCGAAAACCGTCTTAATCCTGTTTCATTCCGCCTAATCCGGCTCAGTCCGGCTAAACTGGGCCTGATCCCAGGCTCAGTCTGGGCTAGCCTGCTGAACGGCATTTTAGTGGTGCTTACCACGGTGGGGACATTCGTGAAGGAATGTGTCCAGGAGGCCTCAGACCCTGGAGGATTCCTTATCCAAAGTAAGGGCGGCGGTGGTATCCACGGCCGCTCTACAATTAAAGTTCTAGTGGCTTCCAGACCCTGGATTCCTTATCTAATCATTCCTCAACCAATGCCCTCTCCGTCCGTAGCCATTTTGGCTCAAGCCAGGCTCGGGCGCGCGCGAGCGGGCTCGGGGAAATGGCGCGGGCGGGGTCGCTTCCGAGCGACTTCAGGGCTGGGAAGCGGCGTTCCCGCGCAGCGGACCGTTGCCAGGCGGGCGGTGCAGAACTCGGCCGACCGGCTGGTCCAGCGCCTCACGCTGGAGCTAGGCGAGCTGAAGGCGCAGATCATGCAGCAGGAGGTGGCCTTGGACATGGTCACGGGCGCGGAGGGCGTGGCCGAACGTGTGCAGGCGCTCGTCCCCGCGTTCGCTGCGCTGACTCGAGGGGGGGGCCGACATGGCTGGACAAGCTGCGCCGCAACGTGGCGCTCCACGCGGTTACCGAATGTGTGGGGCCGCTGGCGGTGGCGAGCGCGGAGGCCCTGCGGGCTGCCCAGCATGGGCCCCGCCTGGGGCAGCCCTCGGCGCGAGCAGCCACGGGGAAGAGGACGAGGCGCAGACGGAGGCGCGGCGGCGGGTCGGCCGCGCAGGCCCTGCGCTGCTCGGCCCCAGCCTTCACGCCGTGCGCAGCCACGCCTCTTGGTGTGCGGTGCAGCTGCGAAACGGTCGCGTTCTCGTCGTGCCTCCTGCTGCCTCCTGCAGGCGGCTCGGACGGGTCCCTGGAGCAGGTGGGCGTCGACGGGGGCGAGACCTTCCTGGCATCTTTCGGCGAGGCGATCGTGGAGGGCGGCGACAGCGTGGCGCTCGCGGAGGCGCAGCTGGCCAGCCTGGAACAGTGCCTCGCCGTGCCCACGCAACAGGGCACGGGCGCGGACGCGACCGATGAGGAGGACGAGCTCGTTTATGTGGACCGAGGAGAGCACGTGCACGACAGAGCGGCGGGCGCCGCCTTCGTGTTTGGCACGGCGCACGCCGATATTGGTGCCAGAGGAGGGGGGGAGGAAGGCTCGGAGGAGTGTGCTGTGTACTCCGAGGACGTCTCCTGCCCCTCCGACTCTGGAGCAGCCGCGATCGCCAGGGAGCTCGGGGTTTCGGAGGAGGTCGAGGCCTATCTGGCGGATCTCGATCGTGCTGCTCGAGAGGGTCGCCTCACTCCGCATGATGTCGAGGCGACTGTGTCGCTCGCTTCGGCAAGGGTGGCGGCGATCGAGGATATGTTCGAGTAGGCTGCGGTGAATGCTTCCGCAGGAATCTGTGGCGGTGAGACTGGCTTCCGCGAAGAAATGTGTGCGAGGCCGAGGCGGAGGTGCTGCTCGACGCGTTGGGCCTTCCTGGCGGCGTGGCGCACGCTCTGTGGCAGCCCCGTGTGCTGCTGGGCGCTATGGAGCCGAGGCGGCAGGCCTGGCGCCGCCATCGAACTGCGGCCTTGGAACTGACCATCTGGCGGAGGTGCCCCAGCGCTGGTTCCAGTGAGCGTGAGAGGCCTCCGCTCGTTGAAGGAAGTGATCTACCCTGGCGGCCGTGGCTCGCGCGCGCGCACGGTTTCAGCGACCTGGCGCAGCCGCGGGTCAGGGGCCTGGAGGCGCGATGCGCGCGGGCGGCGGCGGCGGCGGCTCGCGAGGGCGGCTGGGGCGTGGCCCGCAGGAAGAATTCTTTTGCACGTGCGGGCCTCTCGGGGCCCTTGAGGTTTTTTCTTCATCCAAAAACGCCCTTACCGTAGCCTTTGATCGTTCTTACGACGACCTCCCAGGAGCCCACGTACGCGAAACGTGGAGCACTAGCCAGCAGAATCCGGTTTGATTCCAAATCCGGCTCAACCGGGCCTACTCCCAGGTTCAGTCTGGGCTCATCGGGCGTAGTGGCCTAGAAGTGATTACCAGCCCTGAATTATTACGAAGACTTCCCAGGAGTTGCCTCTTTGTCTGATGTTGCATCTTCGGGGGGCCTCGCCTGCCCTGTAAAGGGCTGTCCTTTTCGTTGTGCTCCTGCGTGCGTTCGACGCGGAGTCTACGTGCATTCGACGTGGTTTCGACATGGATTCGGCACGAATTCGGCGCGGATTCGACGCGCCCGACATGGATTCGACATGTATGCGACACGGAGGGTTGGCGCAATGGGACAGACGATTTCCCCCAACTATGCAGCAAGGCCCGATACGTTGTGCGCCGCCACTTGCTTTCCTGATCTGCGAGTTCCCCTTGCCCCCATTGAGGGGCAGCAGGCGCGGGGATTGGACGGAGCGTCAGCGCGCTTGCTCCTCACCTTCCAAACGCTGGTGCGGCCCAGCGAGGTCGCGAACGCTCTCGGGCAGCACCTCGTCTTGCTTGGAAACTTGGGAGGCGAGATCAATGCAGGCGCGTTCGTGCTGCTCTTTGCCAAGACATCAGCCGAGGGCCAAAGTTCCAGAACGTGTTGGTCGACGATCGCAGCTAAAATGTGGCGCGTCTTTGCCCCCCCCTGGCAGGCGGCATCTTCGCGCCCAGGATAGCTGCGCGAACTGACCCAGAGGTTCACTTACTTTCAAGGGCTTCGTCGGCATCAGCGACTCGCTCTACGCCAGGGGGTCGATGCGAGGGGGCGGGGCCATCCATCGCTTCCGCTCGTTTCAGAACCTGGGGCTGCTATAGTACCGCGGGCGTTCGAAGAATGCCAAGGCCATGCGTTAGTATCTCCAGATGGACGCGGCCGCCCTGTCATTCGCCCGCGTGTCGCGTGACAGCCGACAGCGTGTCCAACAATTACCTCAAGTCGGTCCAGCTGCATGGGGTGTTGGGTGACTCTGTCACCAACGCTCCCGGGGGGGGGGGGGCAAACGCATTTCAGACACGTGGCAACGACGGCAAGGTTGGAACAGGTCGAGAACTCTCTGGCTATGGGGCTCTGCGAGGGCGCGCGGCTGAACCAGCGACGCTTCGCCCCGACGCACCTGGTTGCCTTTTGGCCAGCCTTTCAACGCACACTTTACACATGGTGTGTTTTGGACAACGAACGCCTGGGTTCATGTGAGGACAGCGGTTGCGATAGTAAAAGAAAGTGATCTACAGCTTTCTCGCCCTACACCCCCACCCTTGCGAACAGCTTCTGGACAGTTCGAGAGCTCTCTGTATGTGGGGTTTTGTGAGGCCGCGCAGCCGAACCAGCGCTGCTGCGCCCCGACGCCCCTGGCCGCCTTTTGGCCAGCCTTTTCTTCGCAAGCTTCGCACACGGTGTGCTTTGGAAAACGAGCGCTGGATATCGTGACAATGGATAACGATGCGTTCTGGGACTTTCCAGATTTCCTGCTGTCCACGCGGATTGCAGAAACGAGGGCCGCCTGACACGTTCTGGACGTCCTGGAACAGACCCTGAGCGAATCGCATCGCGACATTATCCTCGTCCTAGCTAGCAAATGCCGCAGTTCCGCCTTCACCCCATTGCAGTAAAGGCGGGCCTATGCACCGAGGCAGCCCGCGCGCGGGCGCCTCCAGACAGGGGCCCCGCCATTCATCAAGCGAGGGAAGAATCTTGAGGCCCATGCGTTGTAATTTTTCACACCGGCCGTTTTTGCTGGCGTTGAGGCCCCAGGACCACCACAGCCCGATCCAGCTTGCAAAATGCAGCAGAAAGCCGGGGTGTAGGACTCTGGTCGTAATATTTCGTTTGTTTGTTTTTTGTTGCCGTAGCGTCGGATTGCAGGGAACCGCTTCGACCTCCGCAATTAGCGTTTGCTACGCGGCCTCGGGCGTTTTCCAGGCAGTCCTGCCCTTTGCCAGTGTGAAGGTGATGATGCTGCCTTTTTTTATCTCGCGTTCGATGGGTTGGCTTGCCCATGTCTGGCGGGACGCTGGCGGAAGCAGCGTTCGCTGGTTGGCCTGCCCACCGCTAGTTGAAAGTTTGTATTTGGTGCATTTGCTCGACGGGTTTCGCTTGTCGGGGTGTTTGTTGCAAGTTCCGTCACATTTAACGATGCATAAGTGAAGGCGGAACGCTGACAGCTTGCCCCCGCCATCCAAAGATAACGCCAGTGCATCGAGGTGTGCGGGCGGGGCGGCATTTAGCGAAGAGCCCAGCGTGCCTGTCAACTTTGCACGGGCCGCTCTACAGAGAATACCCCATGCGCCTCTCAGCTTTTGCCGGGTTTTGCCGATTATTGTCGATTCGATGTTCGCCCCAATCCAGTTCGATTTGCTGGCCCAGTGCTGGGGCCGCCCGGCTGACGAGGTCGAGCTTCGGGATACGGCTCTGGACGTCTAATACATGCGACCGATACAACATGTTTTGTTTTACACAAAGTGGGCATTTCCCCCGGCTATCTTTTGACAGTGCGGAGCCCCCAGAAGCCCCGATCTTTTCCACAGGGTCGGCTTCTCATCCCGAGTTGGTTTGACGACTCCAGAGCCCAGCGAGGCCCCCCGATGCCGAAGTTGGAGGAAGTCTCCCGCATAGTTTTTGTTTGAAATGCGTTGGAGATCTGCGCTGCCTGAGCACAAGTTTCCAATTCCTCCGGAAGTAGTGGCGCCGCCGCAAACAAGTCTCCCCAAGAGAGAGAGAGAGAGAGAGAGAGAGAAAAAGAAAGAAAGAAAGAGCCATGAGGGCGCCAAGACAGCCCCAAGAGCGCCCACGAGCGCCCCGAAGAACATTCGACCGTCGGGCACATTAGCGCCAACTGGTCCGACCCCCTGGCCTTACAAGCCTGCAACATATCACTACCTATGAGAGGCCTTCGCGTGATTCCGTGCTCGTTTGGTGCAGGTGGCTGCATTTCTTGATCCGCTCTGGAGAGCAAATATCCCTACCCCTGTGATTGGCACCGCATTGGCTCGGTGTCGATCTCGAGGATCCTTGTGGGTCTCTGAACGGGCGCCCCCACGACTGACTTCGGTCTCGGGCTGGCCGATCTCAGAGATACAGCAAGCACGGCAGAAAGAAATCGGACTGCCAGCAGGTGCCCCAGGACTGCCAGCAGGTGCCCCACGGAAACTTCTTATCCCCCCGACGGCCCCATGGGCCAGCAGAAGCTCTGGGGCACCTGAGGACTGTCAAATGTCGACGAACAATGTGCCCCAGGACTTCTTAGCGCCAGATGCATGATCGCACGTGCCCACTGCAGGGATGCGTCCGAGGCTTGCAGTGCACCGACGAGCGCTCCGCCCTCCCCCCCGTCAGAGGCAGCGGCCCCACCGCCAAGAGCAGTGACCCGCCAGCTGCTGCAGATGCAGGCGCGCCCAGGGCGCAGACGGCGGCCCCGCGGAGGAAACAGCGGGCCCACAAATCCGGAGCGTCGGGGGTGGACAGACCTCCCACCCCGACACGTCGATTAGCGAATTGGCCGTTTTCGGTTCGCGAGAGGGCGTCGCGGCCGTCATTTTTGCGGGTCCAGGTCCGTCGGTTTCGGTTTTAGGCCGTTTCCACTAAAGGTCTAAAGGGAGGTTTGTCCACCGCCGAGTGGTAAGGCTTCGGGTTGCGCGCAGACAGTCCCCCCAGGGAGCCCCGGCGTTCTTCGGGTCGGGCGCACGCCCCCATGGAGAGCACGTAGTGCTAGTACGCCCTTGTGCGTCCCACAGAGTCGGTCGCGGGAAGGAGTCGAGACCTCCAGAGGTCCGCAGAGGGGAGGCGCAGCGGACGTTCGGCCTCATGGCCTCAGGGCCTCGGGGCCCGTCTGGAGACGGCTCGGGGCGGAGGTTCTCCAACCCGAGGGACCGTCACTGGAACGGGTCGAGACCTCCAGTGGGTCCACGCTGTGAGAAGATCACGGGGTCGGGGGTCTGGAGAGGAGGGGGAGGAGGAGGAGCAGGAGGAGGAGGAGGAGGAGGAGGAGGAGAAGGAGGAGGAGGAGGAGGAGGAGGGGAGGAGGAGGAGGAGGAGGAGGGAGGAGGAGGAGGAGGAAGCGGAGGCGGAGGCGGTGGCGGAGGAGGAGGAGGAGGAGGTGGGAGGCGGGAGGCGGGAGGTGGGAGGAGGAAAAAGGAAGACAGGAAGGGGAAGCAAGAGGAATAAGGGGGATATGTTGAGAGGAACAAGGAGGAGGAGGAGGAGGAGGAGGAGGAGGAGGAGGAGGGAGGAAGAAGGAGGAGGAAAGAGAGATGAGGGAGGAGGAAGGAGGGGCAGGAGGGATGACATCGCCAGAGGCGGAGAAGGGGTGAGTTCGGGGAGGAGAGGAGTGAGGAAGGAGGAGGAGGAGCATGGCAGAGGGGGGTGGCAGAGCAGGACCATCAGCTGGGAGTTCTTTTCTGACCCCTGGCCTTCAGAGTGACACTGTCGTCATGGCGCGCTGTCGTGTCTTCGCTGCTGGCCGTGACGATGACGAGGCGACGTCGAAGACGATGACGAGAACGACGTCGTTGTTCTAGTCGTCGCGGATGGCGCGGCCGTGTCGTCGTCGTTTTCCGCGACGGCGACACGGCCGCGAGGAAGACCACGAGTACGGGGACGAGAGCGAGGACAAGGACGATGGCGACACGGACGAGTGCGACGACGGCAGGGAGGACGACGACCACCATGGCAACGACCACGACCAAGGCCACGACCACGACGACGACGACGACGACGACGACGACGACGACGACGACGACGACGACGACGACGACGACGACGACGACGACGACGACGACTACGAAACGACAACGAAGACGACGAAGACGACAACGACCCCTGGCATAGCTCGGGATGCCCTATTGTTAGAAATTCGAATGGGGGTCCGGTCATGACGACGAGAGTGCGTCCCAGGAGGCCGATACAGAAAGGCCCACACACGCTAAAACTCCTCGACTCTCGATCTCGTGGTCGTCGAGGACAGCACTTTGGGGATTACTTCCTCCTGGAAGAACTTGTTAAGTCCCCAGAGGCCGAGGTTGACCCCCAGAGGCCAACATTTGGAGACAAGTTTCCGATCGCTCGATGCTCCATTGATCCTGGACCGCTCTCGAGCCTCGATCGCTCGATTTCCGACCGATCCTCGTGGGCGAGGACGATCGTCGAGGACCCCTGGCCTCTCACGAGATGCGTTCGCGGCCAGACTGTCGAGGGGAATCCTGCCATGGCCGCGAGAACGTCCCAGCGAGGCCCAGCGAGGCCCAGAGGCGTCCGACGGCCTCGCTGCCCCGACGGCCCGACGCGTCACGGTGCCTGCGCGGCGCTGCCGTGCATCCTTTGCGCGGCCGACTCGGTCCGACTCCGTGCCGATGCGGCCCGGCTCGACGCCTGCTCCAGTCCAGTCCGAGCCGTCGAGTCGGTGCCCGCAGACCTCCGGTGAGGTCAGGTCAGGGGCCGTGCATCGACAAGGCGCGCTGGCAGAAGCATCTGGATCCCTGCTGGACCTTGTGCTTGGCGGTGTGCCATCCTCCAGGTTGCGACAGCGCGCGGCGGAAGATGGAGCGCACTACGACTGTGACGCTGAAACACAGCACAACGCGACTGTGAAGCAGAAACTGCAGCGCCCGACGGTGAAGCACACACACAACAAAAGATACAATTATCCGAATATAGCAGACTAGCAAGTAAAGCATCCGCATACCTCCGATGCCTTGATTTATTCAACACGGAGTCCCCTGAGCTCTGGACCACTTCCCATGGACCAATTTTTCGTCCTGTGTAATGTTTGGATGCCCCGCGGCCCAGCGAGGGCCCCCCAAGGCCAAAGACGACGCTTGATGTTTGTCAACACGTTGGAGGCCCAGGCCTGCGGGGATGTCGAAGTCGTCGACGACGTCGTCGCCCTCGTCGTCGCCGCCCAACATCGGGGCCTCAGGCGCGGCTGGCGCGGCCGCCGCTGTGTCGAAGAAGCCCGTCGCCGCGAAGGCCGGCGGCGGGGACGACGCACTCGCCGACTTCGACGCCTTTCTGAAGGACTTTTGCATGGGGTGCCTTCAACAGGCGGACAAGGCACCTATGCCGCTACCTTACTCGTTTTCGCGTTTTGGGGTCTCCTAGGAGGCCAACGTCGCCTGGGCTGGATTCGCCTCGGAATTCTGGTAAGAACGCGCCGCAGGAGAGGTCCGGGGAGTAGCGGTATCCGTATTTTTGTGGCTCCCCCAAACATCGGGCGGTTCGCATACGAGTCGAGCAGATTCCCAGAAGGGCTTTGGAAGGCTTCGTTGACCTTCGGGGGTCTGCTCGCCTCGAGGTGCCCGTCATCAGGTGAGCCTCGCCGAGAGCGTTCTGGCGGGTGGGGGGCGAATCATGGTGAGCGTGTTTTTGTTGCTCCCCTCCCCAGCGCAGCGCTCGTTTCCGGGCCAAGCCCCCGCCCCACAGGTAACGCTAACGATCGTACTGGGGTGTGGCGTGCCCCCCCCCCCCCCCCCCCCTTCATGCTGTGGTACACACACGGGAGTTGATGCGCGGGTGGCGCAGACGCGGTGCACGCCGCGGCCGCAATCAATTTCCGTTACCTTTCCGCCCGACCCTTTTTTGTGGGTAATGACCGTTATTAGGGAAAGAAGGATTATCTTGGCGAAGGACCCAAGCATATGCAGTTGTGAATACAGCCGTTGTTAGAACCGCCTTCCTTTGAGCTCCCTATGGCGCAACGAAACGTGTGAAGGGAGCGCGGGAATGGGGCGGGGCCGCCATGCGGGCGCTGCTGCCGGGGCCGCCCGCAGGTGGTGCGGAGGTCAGACAGAACGAGTTACATGCTGATGTAACCCATTGCAGTTGTCAGGCACCAGAAATAGCTGGAGAGGACATGCGGGCGCAGCCATTGGGGCCTTCGGCAGGGCTCTCTATGGGGCTACGAAACGTGTGAGTGGTGTGCTAAAAGTGATGGCGGTGGCGGCATGCGAACGCAGCCACTGGGGCCTTCTGTGGAGCTCCCTATCGGGCCACGAAGCGTGTGAGGGGTTTGCCAAAGTAGGGCGGGGGGCGGCGTGCGAACGCAGCCATTGGGGCCTTCGGTGGAGCTCCCCATCGGGCCACGACACGTGTGAGTGGTGAGCCAAAGTGAGCGGGGTGGCGGCATGCGGGCGCAACCAATGAGGCTTTCGGTGGAGCTCCCCATTGGGCCATGAAACATGCGAGGGGTGAGCCAAAGTGAGTGGGGTGGCGGCACGCGGGCGCAGCCACTTGGGCCTTCGGTGGAGCTCCCTATAGGGCCACGAAACGTGTGAGGGGTGTGCTAACGTGGGGTGGCAGCACGCGGGCACAGCCACCAGGGCCGTCCGTGGAGCTCCCTATGAGGCCACGAAACATGTGAGGTGTGTGGGTGCGTGTGTGTGTGTGTGCGTGTGTGTGCCATTGTGAGGGGGGTGGCGTGTGGGCGCAGCCGCTGGGACTTCAGGTGGAGCTCCCTATGGGGCCACGAAGCGTCTGAGAAAAGAGCGCGTTCTGTGGTCGCTTGGAGGGGGGGTTTGGAACCGGACCCCCTCCCTTCCCCCCCTACTTTTCCTCTCTCCCTCTCCTCTGGCCAGCGCCTGCGTCGGCGGCGGCTGGCGGCGGCGGCGGCGGGGGCGACGTTTTCCTTTTCTGGGCAGGCGCCGGCGCCTGCGGCGGCGGGCGGCGGCGGCGGGGAGCGTCGACGAGGACGACGGTGGTGGTGGTGGTGGGTTGTGGTGGTGGTTTGTGGTGGCGTTGGTGGTGGTTGTGGAGGTTGTGGTATGGTGGTTTGTTGTGGTGGTGGTGGTGGTTGTGGTGGTGAGTGGTAGTGGTGGTGGTGGTGGTGGCGGTGGTGGTGGTGGTGGTGGTGGTGGTGGTGGTGGTGGTGGTGATGGTGGTGGTGGTGGTGGCGTGGTGGTGTGGTGGTGGTTTTCTGTGGTGGTGGTGGTGTTGGTGGTGGTTTGTGGTGGTGGTGGTGGTGGTTTGGTGGTGGTGGTGGTGGTGATGGTGGTGCTGGTGGTGGCGTGGTGGTGTGGTGGTGGTGTTTTGTGGTGGTGGTGGTGTTGGTGGTGTTGGTCGTGGTTTGTGGTGGTGGTGGTTTGTGGTGGTTTGTGGTGGTGGTGGTGGTGGTGGTGGTGGTGGTGGTAATTAGTGGTTTGTGCCGCTGGTTGTGGTGGTGGTTGTGGCGGTGGTGGTGGTGGCGTGGTAGATTGTGGTGGTGGTGGTAGTGGTGGTGGGTTTTTGTGGTGGTGGTGGTGGTGGTGATGGTGAGTTGTGGTGATGGTGGTTGTGGCGGTGGTGGTGGTGTCTGTGGTGGTGGTGGTGGTTGTGTGGTGGGTTGTTGTTGGTGGTGGTGGTGGTGGGTTGAGGCAGTGGTCGTGGTGGTAGTGGTGGTGTTGGTAGTGGCAGTGGTGGGTATCGTCGCTGCGTCCCGGCCGTCGCCGGCGCCAGCGCCGGCGCCAGCGCCGGCGCTGCTGGCCGCCGCCAGCGCAGGCGCTCTCGCCGGCGCCAGGGGGGGGGGAGGGGGTTTCGACCCCCCCTCCTTTGGGCTGCCTCTGGTCATCGTCGCTGCGTCCCCGCCGCGCCGTCGGCGCTGCTGGCGGCCGCCGGCGCCGGCGCAGGGGCGGGGGGGGGGTTCAAAACCCCCCCCCGCCTCCCTTGGGAGGGGGGGGGGGTCGGGAGGGGGGGGTTTGGGGGAGATGGGAGTCCCCTTGGTTTTGATCGACGGCGCCGAGTGTTGGGGGGGGGGCCCACCCCACGGTACGAAACGCGCCGCCGAATGTTCCCAATGCAAGCGCCCGTGAAACGCGTTCTCTCTGTCTGAGGGGTGTGCCAAAGTGACAGGGATGGCGGCATGCGGGCGCAGCCATTGGCGCCGTCGGTGGAGTTGGCAATGGGGCCACGAAATGTGCGAGGAGTGGGCCAAAGTGAGGGTTGTGGCGGCATGCGGGCATAGCCACTGGGGCCTTCGGTGGAGCTCCCTATGGGCCTATGGGGCCACGAAGCGTATGAGGGGCGTGCCAAAGTGAGGGGGTGGCGGCATCCAGGCGCAGCCATTGGGGCCTTCGGTGGAGCACCCTTTGGGGCCACGAAACGTGTGGGAGGTGAGCCAAAGTGAGGGGGGGGGCGGCATGCGGGCGTAGTTACTCGGACAGTTGGTGGAGCTCCCTGAGGCCATGAAGCGCGTAATGGGTGTGCTAAAGTGAGGGGGGGGGGGGGGCGGCATGTGGGCGCAGCCATTGGGGCCTTCGGTGGAGCTCCCGATGGGGGCCACGAAACGTGTGAGGGGTGTGCAAACGTGAAGGGGGTGGCGTCATGCGAACGCAGCCACTTGGGCCTTCGGTGGAGCTCCCCATGCGGCCACGAAACGTGTGAGAGGTGTACCAAAGCGAGGGGAGTGATGGGAGTGCCGAACTGGTTGACACGCGGAGGGCAGAGGCAAGGGTGGGAGGAGGGAGGAGCGGGAGGAAGAGGAGAGGAGGAGAGGAGGAGAGGTGGGGACGCTTGAGGAGGGCCCAGGGAAAGGGACGGGGGACGACGGATACGGCGAGGAGACGACTGTGACGACGACGAAGACCATGAGGAAACGACGGCGACGAGAACTCGAACGGAGAAGCCACTCGCACACGCCGACAGGGTCGGCGGATTTCTCCTCTCCCAACTGTCATCCCCTGCGATTTGATGAACCAGGACGGGTTCGATCTGGCTCAATGCGCAATTCCAAAGGCAATGGAACAAATACGTTCTTGGTGCTGGTCTCGGCTTCCTGTCTTCCCAGATGGTGAAGAACGTCCCGGGCCCCTCTCCTCCATGACCTCCCTGCGAGCCAGGGATGTCCGCGGCACGGTCGGTTCGGTTGCGAGGCAGCCGGTCACGCTCGGTCAGTTCGCTTCGGCCGGTAGCCGTGCCGCTGCTGCGTCGCTGCGCCTCTCTGCAGGCCGATGGCGGCCTGTCGGATTCGGTTTCGGGTCCGCCGTCGGCTCGAGCAGCTTTCGGCTGGTGCCGTCGCCGTGGACGGCCTCGGGGCCTGTGGAGGGGGTGCGGCCCTGTGAGAAGGCGGGGTGCCAGCAGGGAAGGGGTCGGAAGTTTCCGAGGCGGACTCTTGCAGGGCGGGCGGGCTTTTCCCAGGAGGCCACACGGGGCCCTCCGATCGCCCTGCCCCCCTAAGCTGCGCGCCGCTCCCCCGCCCTGCCCCCTGATTTGCGCTCGAGAGAGGAACAACAAGCACAGAAACAAAGCCTCGTCGATTCCCAGGAAGATATGGGACATACGGGAAGTGGAGGGGGAACACACACACACACACACACACACACACACACACACACACACACACACACACACACACACACACACACACACACACACACACACACACACACACACACACACACACACACACACACACACACACACACACACACACACACACACACACACACACACACACACACACACACACACACATACACACACACACACATACACACACATACACACACATACACACATACACACACACACACTTACACACACACACACACTTACACACACACACTTACACACACACACTTACACACACACACACTTACACACACACTTACACACACACTTACACACACACTTACACACACACACACACGCATCCAGAACACATGAAACATATAGTGGCATCCTGGGGTTTGTGTCTGCCTATTTGTGTGCCCCTGGGCCTCCTTATGATTGCGCTCCGCCGAGGACTTCAAGGACTTGGACGGGTAGGCCCCTCCTCGCCCCGCCCCTCTCTCTTTCCCCCGCTCCCCTCCCTCCCTCGTGGAGGTCATCCCCAGAGATATCCGACGCACTGCTTCTGTTTGGCACGGGCCCCCTGGAAGTCCCGACTCTTTCCACGGCAGCGAGGGCTGCAGAAAAGGGGCCCTTTACTTGGGGCACCTCAAGGGCGCCTTTGGGGCTCACAGGGCCGAGAAGTGCACCTTTCTCCCCCCCTCCGATTTTCCTCCCCACATTAAGCGACGCCCAACACCGAGCTTGTATTTCATCCCGTATATTCTTTGACGGTCCTGGGGTCCTGGGGTCGAGCGGCCCAACACCAGCGTCAACCTCGTCGTCCCCACACCCCGACGTTGTTGTTTTTGAGGTTTTTTCGATGCGTGGCTCCCTAGAGGTCTGGACCTCTTCACGAGGACAACATTTGCATACTGAAGATTGTTGTGACCGTCCGGGGGCCCAGTAAAGGCACCCGAATGCCGAACATGACAGACAGCTTTCAGATGTTTCAAGACGCGAGGATATCAGGGTCATCGTCGTCGTCTTCGCTCCTCCTCCTCCTCCTCCTCCTCCTCCTCCTCCTCCTCCTCCTCCCTCACTGCCTTTGCCTCCCCCTCGCTGCCCCCCTCCCTTCCCGCCGCGGAGCGAGAGAGCAGCCGCTCGCCAGGGTCGGCCCCCCCTCCAGGGTCCATGGCCCCTCTATCCCCCGCCACCCTCCGTGCCGTCCGGGCCGAGCAGGAGCGCCCTGGCGCCAGAGGCTTTCGCCTGAGAGGAAGGGGGAGGATCGAGTGGAGCAGAGGAGGAGGAGTGTGGTCAGAGAGAGGAATTCGTGGATGAGGGCGAGAGTGGTGAGGAAGGGAGTGAGAGGAGATGCGAGGAGGAGGAGGAGGAGGAGGAGGAGGAGGATGTAGAGGAGGACCCTGACGCCAGATGGCTTCACTTCCAGGGCTCGTGCAAGAGAAAGCAGGAGGATCGAGGGGGGCAGTAGGGGGAGAGAAGAGGAGAGACGTGAGGCTGAGGAGGAGGAGGAAGCGGAGAGTGATGACCAGAGTAAAAAGCACAACATGTATAAGCGATGTTGCAATACACCCTCCCGTCCCACCTCCCGTCATTCGTCCCTCCAAGCAGTCTGTCCCATTGCGGGAAGTGCCATGGGCTGGCTATTCAGGCGTGAGTTCCGTTTCGAAAAAACTCGCCGTCCATCCTTTGAGCGGTCAGTGATGTGACATGATGGAGCTTGAAAGTTCACGGAGGTGCCTAGAGCCAGCCCAGCTTTGAAAAGTAATTGCCATACATCCGTGTAGTTGTTGTACGATTTTTATTTCGGGTCCTCTAACTTTTGTATGTCTCAGACGATTTCAATTGTTAGAATATGACCGCCATCCATACTTATACTTGTGGCACAACGTTACACTTGTGGTCGTATTGGTAGAGGTTATTCTCAGGCGCGAGCCCCGCTTTGAAATCTCATTGGCTCTCTTGCATGAAGTGTTGGGCATGTGTTCGAGAAATGCACGCGGCGCTGAGGCGAGAGCCATACGTCGAAAACACCTGGCCCCGGCCACACATCCGTGTATAATTGTCGGAAACGTTTTGAACACGTGTGTGCGGTGCAAAGGCGAGAGCCACATTTTGAACATGATCGACCCTCGAACCCAGAAAGGAATATAGAAATGTGAGCCATGGCAACATCTTCAAGACACTTGATCCGGCGACGGGCAATTGCAATGCTGAAAATCCCGTTCTTGATGTACCGTGCCAAGGTCTGTGTTGTGCTGTGCCGTGCTGAATTGCGATATGTCATGCCATGCCGCGATTGTGCTCTATAGCGCTGTGAATCGAGTCCTCTTCAGTATTCGAGTCCTGACCAAACTGATCTGGACCTTACGCTCGAACTGCCTGAGCACATAGCAGCTGGCCAAGAGCCAGCTGGAGTCGAAACGTGCGGGACGTTCAATCAGCTCGAGCTCAAATTCCGACCCAGCTCCGAAGGTGGACGACACGACACGCGACTCAAGGCAACAGGCTCACGGACGCGCCACAGGATGCGCCAGGGGCGCAATAGGGGATGCGGCGGGGAACGTCTCAAGGGACGTAGCAGGGGACGTGCCCTGGACGTGTCAGGGACCGGCCACGGGACCGTGCCAGGGTGCGTGCCACTGGGGCGGGCCAGGGGAAGTCATGCCAGGGGACGTGGCGAGGGGCGCGCCACGGAGCGGGCCGGGCACGAGCCAGGAGACGCGGCAGAGGGCGAGCCAGGGAGCTTGCCACGCCGCGGAGCGTGCCTGAAGACGTGCGGGGGCATGTCATGCCAGAACGTCGCAAGGGACGCGTCAGAGGGCGCGCCAGCGTGCCCAGGGACGCCCAGGGACGGGCGGGGTTGGGCTGCGACGCACTCTACTGCGACAAGCGTTTCGCTCGAAGCATCCTCAAGAAATCCGGATGTCAGACATCCGCCTGGGCGACCGATGTTCGACATCCGCCTGGGCGACCTTGACACGCGAAGACAAGCGTCTCGCCCAGCAAATCTTCATGCTGGACATCTGCCTGGGCGACCTGGATGCGTGATAACAAGCTTCTCGCTCGATATTTTCTCAACCAATTCTCATGCTAGACATCCGCCTGGGGGACCTGGACACGAGATAACAAGCGTTTCGCTCAAGACATCCTGCCCAAGTCCTCATGCTGGACATCCGCCTGGGCGACCTAGACACATGAAAACAAGCGTTTCGCTTAACACATTCTCAACCAATCCTCATGCTAGACATTCGCCTGGGCGACCTGGACACGAAAACAAGCGTTTCGCCCGAGATATTATCAACCAATCCTCATGCTAGACATCCGCCTGGGGGACCTGGATGCGTGAAAAAAAGCGTCTCGTTTGAAACATCCCCAAACACATCCTCGTGCTAGACATCCGCCTGGGTGACCTGGACACGTGAAAACAAGCGTTTCGCGCGAGACATTCCCAACACCGTTTCATGTGAGACATCCGCCTGGGGGAACTGGACACGAGATAACAAGCGTTTCCCTCGAGACATCCTGCCCAAGTCTTCATATAAGACATATGTCTGGGCGACCGGGACACGAGAAAGCAACAGTTCCCCTAGAGAATCCCCCACCTTTGCAAAAAGAGCGTTTCGCTGGAGACGTCCTCAAGAAATGATGTGGAGCAAGCGTTTCGCTCGGGACACCCTCACAGAATCCTCCGGCCCACTTAAACAACATATTATTTTGTGAAGGAAAAATTCCGCTGGCCCACCCCTAGCATTGCACGGGGGACAGTGGAACACTGATAAAAGAGAACCCTGGGCCCGCGCCGTTTCCATGAAGACAGCACCAGCCCTCCATCCGCGTAGCTGTCGGAAGTTGTAACCATCCGGGACACAGCAACAGGAAGTCTTAAGCGAAACGCGCAGCCTTGCCTAAGGACACCTCTGGTGGTACGACAGTGGGAATTTTCGTATGTATAAGGATGTGGGGTGGATGAGCTCGAAGCCCTTGGACTTCAACTCCAGGGCCCGCCTGAAAACCATGATCGACACACGAACCCAGGAAGTGATATAGAAATGTGAAGCATGGCACCCTTTCCAAGACGTCAAACCTGGGCGACAGACAATTCTGGCGTTCAGAGCAACAATCGTGATGTGCCGTGCCACGGGCTGTTGCCGTACTGCGCCGTGCAGTGCCGTGCTGTGCTGGGTTCAATGTGTCACGCCGCGTTAAACCGTGCCGCGCCCTATCGCATTGTGGATCAAGCCGTCCTTGGCGTCAGATTGAACCTTGGCCCTATTGGATCTGGCGTCAAGTCGTTCTGGGCCTTCCTTGTCGCTCTATTGCATCGTGGCCGAATTGATTTGGATCTTAAGCTCGAACTGCCTGAACGCATAGCTGGGCTACTTCTAGTCGAGACTCGCGGGGCGCTCGACAAGCTCGAGCTCAAGATCCGATTCAGTCTCCGGGGTAGGGCGAACCGATCAAGGGACGACTCCGAACCGAAACGAAGAGCACCGAGACGACGACAGGGCCCCCGCTCGACACCTCCTAAAACAGTGGAAAAAAACAACGTTTTTCGAGACAGATCTCCAACACATCCTGCAGAAGAAACCTTTCGCTGCAGGCGAGGACCTCGCTCGAGACATCCTCAACAGATCCTGCAGAGCGAGCGTTTCGCCCTAGGCATCCCCGACACACACTCACGTTAGTGATCCGCCTGGGCGGCCAGGGCACGTAAAGGCCCGCGTCTCGCTCGGAACACCTCAACAAATCCTCATGCTCACGATCCGCCGGGGCAGCGCGGAGCAAGCGTGACAGCACGTGGGTCCTTTGCGCGCCAGAGCGGCACAAGCGTGAAACCGCGTGGGCTCCGTTCGCGCCAGAGCGGACAAGCGTGAAAACACGTGGAGCCGTTTCGCCCCAGAGCGGAAACATATGAAAACACATGGGTCTGCTTTGCTTCGGGGTGCAGCAAGCGTGAAATTACATGGGTTCGTTTCGCCCCAGGACAGCGCAAACGTGAACACACGTGGGTGCTTTTCGCCCCAGAACAGAACAAGCGTGACATCACGTGGGCGCCTCTCGCCCCAGAGCGCAGCGAGCGTGAAGTTACATGGGTCTCTTTCGCCCCAGTGTGGAGCACGCGTGGGAACCCGTGGGTCTCTTTCGCCCCAGAATGCAAGAAGGCGAAATGGGCCCACGTGTTCTCACGCTTGGTCTTTCTGAGGAAAGGGAGTCAGTTCACGCTTACCTCGCCCTGAAGCGACTCACGTGTTTTCACGATTGCCTTGCCCTGAGACCCACGTGATTTCACGCTTGCCGCGCTGTGGGGCGAAAGGGACACACGCTGTTCACGCTTGTTCCGCCTTGAAGCGAAAAAGGATTGGGGCGAAAGCGACGGCCTCTCCACTTCTCCACAACGAGCGTTTCGTCTGAGACATCCTCACATTTTCTGCGCGCAGGACGCGCCATCCTCGAGAGGGAACGCCCCAAGTCAA